AATTTGATGAACTGCAGAAGCTGACATCCAGGTTTTCTATCTCTCTCTCTCTTGTTGTGTCCTCAAATAACTAATTTGCTTGTGATTAATGTTGATACTAACTGCAATTGTGAAGCGCGATTGTTGATTATTTTTGAAAAATTCTTAATTTTTGAGTATATTCTAGTTCTCAATTTGTTAGATTGTTTATTGATTTTGGGAGATGAAAATTCAGCATTCTCCGGCGAAGTTCTGTTTAGAATGGCTACTGTGTCGTCTTTGTGCCGTCGATCTTTTGCTTAGGCTTCAGAACTTCAGACTCCGTTTAAATCTGTTAGGGTTTTTTTTTTTTTAGTTGAGTTTCTGGAATTATGTTGAGGAATGGAATAAATGCATATGGATTTTATTTAATTATTTTTTTTATCTTTTTGAATGCTTGGTGAATGCATGTGGATGAAGAATTGAGAAATGCAGTTGTTGATTTATTGAAAAAAAATCGCATTTTTTTGTGTTGTTTGACTATTGTGGAAAGTGGAAACCTTTAGGAATTCAGATTTGTTTTATTTTGTTTTCTGAAATACTCGAATGCTGAATTTTTGCTGACTTTCAATTTTTACGATAAAGTAATATTTAGGATTTTCCGGTGGTTTACTTTTTGATGATTTTCACTTTCTACGATAAATTAGATTTAAAATTATTTTTTTCGTGTAATTCTGTTTAGGGAATATTTCTTCCTTGAAATGTCAAAATGCCAATCTATATTCGATATTTTTTTTTCATTTTGTCGTGCTCGTGTTGCATGTGCATATGTTAGTATCTAAAAATCCAGTTACGACGTACGATTGACTTTAATTGCAAAGTTCTTGAATATGGCAACAAATGTCAATCTCGTAATTAGTTGCATCTTTTTTTCGATATATTATTAATTCCATTCTCCACTCTTTGATTTGTAGGTCTTAATATTTCTAATAGATTGAAAAGAAAAAAAAGGAATTAGACAAATGGAGAACAAAAACAATGAAGACTTAATGGACTATTCAATGACCGAAATCTTCGAGATTTCTGGCGAACCAGCCATTGTAATAAACGGCCTGCCCCCTCCATTATCATCATCATCGAGTGAAACCAATCTCATTCATTGTGCTGTTAGTGATTCGAAACCGCAAAATATTCCTGGATTTGGGGAATGGATGGAAGGAAGAGAAGTTCGAAAATCGTTTGGCGAAGAATTCTTCAATGGCAAAGTAACTCAGTTTGATGAGGAAGAGGGGTGGTATAGGGTCGTGTACGAAGACGGTGACTTTGAAGATTTAGAGTGGCAAGAATTGATGGAAGTGTTGGTGCCGTTAGATGTTAACATCCCTCTGAAAACACTCGCGATGAAGATTATCAAGAAGAGACAGAAATCGTCTGTTCAAAAGTCTGCAAAAAATAAGGTCAGAAGTCGAAACGACGGTTCGTTTGATGGTAAGGGCAAAGGGAAAGAAAGTGACGTTTCTTTATGAGTAAGTCTGCCTTATATGTTCTTGAAATATCCGTTTCATATATAGTTAGCACATTACAAATTACCGTTTTAACCTCATACCGAACTCCACGAATGGAGATATCGTTGTTATCGTATTGTATTGCTAATGGTTGTGTAGATGCTACACTTTCACAATACGTTCGAGTTATTAAACACTTGGACTTGATCATGATTTTGCGAGTTCGTATAGTTTAACAAGATTATATCATTTATACCTCGAAAAACGGGGAAAACGAATACAATAAATTTTAAAATCCTATTGCCTAGAAAAAAAAATTAGTAGATTAACGAAAAAAGGGATGTCCCGTTTATTACTGCATATATATTTATATATATATAAAAGGGTACTATTTAATTTAATGCTCAAAATAATATCCTAGAACCGTTGAACGGGGTTGATACCGGGGATCAACCCGGGTGGGTCATATATGCAGACAACGTAAACACCCGTTCTGATTATAGCAATAACGGCGCGCTGCACCCGACCGGGTGGTGGTGCTCCAGACGATATTCAAGTAATGCCCGCATTCGCACCCGGCCCGCTCCGGCTGGCAAGTGCAGCTAAGCGTCTCGTTGTCGTACAGCTTGTACTCGTTGAACCACCACTGGACCACGTCGGTCGGCGTGAACTCGTTGTAGCTCTCCCAGTAAATGTTCTCGCCGAACTGGTACGGCGAGTGGCTCCGGTAGTTGCAGTCGACGCGGCGGTGCTCCGCCCATGCATGCGCGTGCTTCGTCAGAGCAGGGCTCCAGACTAGCGGCGGCACGCCGACCTTCTGGCGGAGGTCGTTGTGGGCCTTGAGGTACTCCTGCTGCTCCCAGTTGAAGACGGGCACGAACGCCGGCGCCGGAGGCGGGTGCTTGCTGGCGTGGCGCTTCTTCAGCTTGCCTACGGGGGTGGAGTGGTTCACCCCCGCCGCCGGAGCGATGGCCGACACGGCCGCGAAGATCAAGAAACATAAAAGTTTAGCCGGAGGCGGCATTTTTTTTTTTAGTTTTTTTTAATATTTTTTTTCTTGATTTGGTTTTTTGTTTTTTTTGGGTGGATTGGAATATAGGTTTGGACGCTGCTCCGGGAAAGGAAGAGGAGGAGCAGCGTCGAAAGAGGAGTGGTCGGAGGTGGAAATTAAATTGGTTTTATGCACTAATTTTTTTTATTTTTTTTTACTGAATTTTTGATTGGTTGGTTGGTAAATTATTTTTTTTACTGAATTTTGAAACGGTCAACGCCTGGCACAACAGATTTAAAGCCCGGCCCGTGATTAATTATGAAATTATTTACTCCGTTGATTTAAAAAAGACTTTTAGTCCACATATTAATATATATATATATATATATATATATATATATATATATATAAACTTTAGATAGAAATTAATGATTTGAAAAAATCATGTGCTGTAGTATAAGATTTTTTTTTTTTCTGATTTTGCTTGACTATTAAAAAATTAAAACGATTTGTCGTATTTCAGCTATTTTTATTAAAAAGTGTGTGTTGTTGATGTATACGAGTTTTTGTGATTTTTGCTCGATTGCGTAAATATTTGTGAAACAATTTTTAGATGAAATATTATTAGTTGCTTATGTATAAATGTCTCCTACATAACACATTTGAGTATTAAAAAGTTATTACAAATGATTTGAATATTTAGCAATTTTAAGCAAAAAACGTGTGTTATATTGTATACGACTTTTTGTGATTTTTGCTCGATTTTCAAAACTTGGTGAAATAATTTGAGATGAACTATTTTTGACTACTTGTGGATAAAAATCTTATATTTGAAGCGATTAATAATATTAAAGAGAATATTTAAACATTTCGACTATTTTTCACAAAAAAGTCACATATACATTTTTTTTTTTTTGTGATTTTGCTCGGCTAATAAAAACATCATTGAAATCATTTTTAGATAAACTATTTCTTGACTTTTTATAAAATAAACATCTTCTATATTATATATTTGAGAGTTAAAAAATTATAATTTTTTTTAATATTCCTACTATTTTTAGCAAAAAGCGTGTGCTATAGTATACATTTTTTTGTGATTTTGCTCGATTATTCAAAAACTAGTTAAAAAATTTTAGATGAACAAATTCTTGAGAAATTACGATAAACATCTTACTTTGTTTCATTCATGAGAAAATAAAAGGTCCCATTACTAAAATTACATGAACAAACATCAGAAAGAAACAACAACCAAGCAAGTAAAAAATCAGCATATACATAAAGAACAAAATACAGTTTGTTACTCAGAACCGGACCAGTCACCGAAGATTCTTTCGTATAAATCGGTCTCTTCCAAATCACCCCAGCTCGTATTAGTGTCACGCAAATCGTGAAAGCCTAAACCATCTGGTCCGGCCCGATATTCATTTTCCGGCCCGTTTTGCGCTCCACCATCATAAAGGGAACCGTCTTGTTTCTCTGAGTCGTTTTCTTCTTCTCCACAATAGCTACTTAAGTAGGAAGATAACTCTCCAAACCAAGTACCACTGCAGTAATCTTGATTTGTCTCTTTGTTTGTGAACCAAGATCGGCTTGAGTAATCGCCCACTTCTTCGTATGTTAAGTAATATGAATCATCGTAAGATTCTTCTTGGTCAGAAGAAATCGGCTCCCCATAGTAGCTGCTGTTGTTCCAATCCCGATAGGACTCGTAGTCAAAAAAATCGGGGCTATTGTATAATACAAGGCTCAAGTCTTCCATTACGTATAGGCTGTAATAACAACCAGGCTTCAAGTTGTTCGGAGAATTATTTTTTTAATATTTCTGAAAATGTAGGAGGTGGTGAGATCACAAAAGGCAATAGGTATATTTTCAAGTGGCATCGGCAAAAGCATCTTATGCTAAAAGCAATACCACAAATGACAAAACGGGGAATACGAAATCACTTTGGATTCCATTATTCGTCACTCTTTCAAATTCATCGAGCAACCGTGCAAAAATAACCTTGCCACTTGTAGATAATAAGAAATTTAACTAGGTTGGTAAAGAATTTTACCACTATTTCGAGTATTTCGTGTGGTGCAATTGTTTACTCTTATAAAAACAAAATTGGCAATATATCTCCACCCATTGTAGATTTCTTCTTCATCACAGCTTCCATACCAAATGTCCACAAGAAAAAAGAATAAAAATAAAATAAAGAAACGGCAAAAAGGCTCGGAAAAAAGCATCGGTCACAGACTAAAGATACATTTAGTTTAGAAAAGGAATGCTTTAGTTCACAAAGTCATTTTCTAAAACACAGATAGAAAGCTAAGGATTAGTACCATCATCCTCAATTCATAATAAATAAAGCGCAAGCTAAAAAAAAGTCTCGATAAAGTTTATAAAATTTAAAAAAAAAAAAACACCCCTTTGATTACAAGTCCAAACTTATGATATTTTCTCAAGGAGATTGGCTGGCCCGGGGAGAGGGTGCAACAGGTTCGTCGTCATCATCAACAGGGCTCCTATCATCCTTCGGGCTAGGGCTTCTGCCATTAGGGCTGATGTCATCATACCTCTTAGGGCTGACAGGGCTTCTGCTTCTCTCCTTAAGAGTAGGAGAAGGGCTTCTCTCTCTTATATCTCTATCAGGTGTCGGACTAAGTTTCCTCACTGGGCTTTCTCGACGAGGGCTTCTTGATGTTCTTCTCTCTTTATAATCTGCCCCGCGCCCTCTTCTTGCAGCTGGTGACCTGGACCTGCTGCAAAACACAAAACCAAATTCCCGAATCAGCCAAGAAATTCAAATGAATTGCAATTTCCAGAACACGAAACTTTTAACGGTGAAAGGCTAACCTGTAGCTACGGCTTCTGCTGAAACTCCGACTCCTACTGCGACCACCGCGACGAGGAGAGCGCGACCTCACAGGTGACCTCACCGGTGAACGCGAATAACTTCGACCACGTCCACTGAAACATATGACAGTCGGAATAGTTATTAGGATTGAGTATAAATTAAGATATATAAACAAGAAAGTGAAACTAAAGCTAGAATATACTTACCTTAATTTCTTAGGGCTGTTCTGGCAACTCCTTTCAATGTGACCTCTTTCACCACAACGGTAACACTTATTTTTCCAGTCTCCAGCTTTGCAGTCGCGGGCCCAGTGTCCATCGAGGCCACAATTGAAGCAGCGCCCCGAACCTGGAGCAGGATCTCTACCTGCACCTGCATACTCTCTAGCCCCTCCAGAGCCACGTGGCACCTGTATAACAATGGAGTATCAGAAATAGTGTTTGTATAAATAAGAAAAATAAATCATTTTGCATCCACATAGCATATGTAGCAAGACCATCGAAACATATCTCATATGATAATTGTTTCAATTGCAAAATTTTCTTCTTGTAAACAAATCTCATATGATAAAGTAACTTACACCCTTGGCAAATTCCACTATTATACGGCGTCCATCAACATCTCTTCCATCCATGCTATATCTTGCATCGTCAGCATCCCGTGGATCACTAAATTCCTGTATAATTGCGAAGGAACCAAAAAAAAAAACCAAACACACAAAACCCATGACGTAGCCATATCATACAATAAGAGGTATACGATCTTTTAAACTCGTAAGCATTAAGAAAAGGGTTAAGAGTAACGTACAACAAAGGCGTAGTCTCGCTTCATGTCCACATCGCGTACTCTGCGGAAATGTTTTCCAGGAAACAGTAAGGCCATCAAAACTAGTTATGTACTGCAGTGCATGAAACTTGGTGCCACCAAGAGACGAAGAACTAAACACCAGTTTTTGATTTGTTGCAAATCCATAAAAAATGTAAACACAAGACAGAAAATCGTCAAAGGCTTCTAAGAATCGGCAAGATATTCCACCGAGTCCACCCCTCTCACCATGGACCACCAACAGAGACAGGGAAACTCCACCCTCCCACCATTGACCACCAGGTCAGGAAAGGCTCAGAAACCTTCAATAGAACCATTAAAGTCAAACTCAAACGATACCTAGGGCATATTGTTCCTTCACATATAAAGTTGCAAAGATGCCCACGAAAGACCATGCCTGGAAAGCAACTATTTTCTTACTAAGGTTCGAATTTGGTAACACTGACAGATCTTTGACGTAGAACCATGTTATGGAAATTGTTACAATGCCCAGCAAATTTTATAAAGTTTAAAATCGCTAATCATGGTCTACCGGTATCAACCAAAAAATTAATAAAACCATAGAGGCCAAAGCTTTCTTTCTGTGACCGAAGGGTATGGAATCTATCACTATATAAATTTTAGACTAGAGACTACTCTTTTAAAACGCATATCACCTTCCTAGTCCCACGTGCCAAAGTACCAAAAAGGGATATCAGCAAATATTTTAAGAAGTAACTATGGAACAAACAGCCTTACACTCCGTAAATAAGAGAGGCTCAGTTACACCCATAAACCGTGGTCACGGTGAAGACGGGGATGTATCAAAATTATATGGCAAAGCAGAGGAGGAAGGTAGACGGCAATAAAAATTAATATTACACCATTGATCAAAGCGAGTAGTAAAAATTTACAGACTTCAACCATTGATAATGAATGACGCATGATCATGTGGATGAGACATAAATTAAGTATTCAAGAAGAAACAAAAGGCAGAGCAAAACGGTAAAAACAGAGAGACATTCTGATTATTACCTTCCATATCTGCTGAAAACATGCTCCAAATCCCGAGAACGGGTCCTTGAAGACAAGTGACCAACATAGAGGCGAGTAGTGCTGCCATACCTATCTTCGTAACGAGGCATTCTTTAAGCTGCATGATAAAATTATAAAACCAACAATCAGAAAAATAAACCAAGACAGGAAGGTCAAATATTTAAGGAAAAATGAAAAGAGGGATTAGACAATGCATTACAATTTTTAAACAAATTAGGGCAATAAATCCAATTTTGGTGACACAAAAATATTAAGCAACCATAAACAAAGAACTTCCCCAACGTAACATTGTCCCCAAAAGGTTCCGTTTTTTCTTCTTTCTCTGGGGTGGGTGGCTAAAAGGATTGAAAAAATCATTTTTTTCATTTGTTCATGCATGAAAATTGGGAATATGCGAAGGGGAGCAAAAAGTAACCCTAATTTTCAAACAAAATCAATTTTGAACCACACCTCCGAATTTTTCTAAAAACGAAATCGACAGACGAACAAGACAAAATTCCATTCACCGGCGAAGATAAATCATAAAAACAAAGCCATAACAAATTAGTACAATACGTCAGAGAGGTACAGAGATCTGAAATCCTTACATAATCTATTCAGACGGAATCCCCAAATTCGAACTGCAACCCTAATTCTCACGGACAGCGTGAAAAGAGCCAGCGGTGAGATCTCGTTGGCATTATATATGACCACCGACATATTTGACGGTTGAGATTTTGCGTGTCGAATCCAAGGGTGTAAATCAACACTTGGTGGGCCGGGCCGGGCCGGATAACTAGTTATGTAAGCCCAATTAATATTACCTTGGTTCTAACCAATTGGGCTGTTCAATTATTTATTTAGTTATGTATATTATTTTCTTAATTTACTTTTGTATAATTAAATTTTCTTATTAAGTAAAGAAATAAATAAATGGTAAATTTCGGGCACCCCTGAGGTAAGGTTAAATTACGAAAAAAACCTCTTATTTTGGGTAATTACAATCACTCTCATCAACTATGAATTTTCTTGCACGTCTATCTTTGCGTTGTTAAATTTAGTGGAATCTTTTAGATTATGTGGAATATTCTCCAGAAAATAGTTTTACTCCATACGAACTCCACATTTTGAAATAAGATGAACATAATATGTGTTTTTTGGCTTGTAAATATCAGATTGTGGTGCTTCAAAAACTGCATTTCATACAAAACGAATAAAAACTAGAGAACGATTTGAAATCTAGATAATTCTATTGAATTTTACACCATTTAAAGGGAATGGTCGTAATAACTCAAAATATTAGTGGGTTTTTTTCGTACTTTAACTTTATCTGAGACGTTGTGGTAATTTACCCCAATAAATAAAATTAAAAATCTCTTTGCAACTACAATCAGCAACAAACAAACACAAGAAAACACACCACTTAAATTCTTTATTAAACAACTGAATTAGTTAATACATGATAATCTTGATGAACCCTAAGTATACATATCCTTCTTCACTTCCTCTTATTCTTGCTTCCAATCATCAAGGCAAAGTAAAACAAAACCCTAAACAAAAACCCTAAACCAATGGTAATCAACAAGCAACTCCATTTATCCACATCACTAACCCCAGCCCTCTTCAATATATCCGATCCGTTCGTCAGACACGTGGACGCCGTAATATTCATCCCCAAAGTCCCGCTCATCGATTTCAGCATCTTCAACTTGACGGAGTGAGGAACACCGGCCAACGGTGTACCGTCGAACACCTGAACACCTCTCATGAAGCACCTCTTCGAATCGTCGAACTCGTTTTGCATCACCCCTTGGTAAGGGTACTTCACAAGAGAAGCGTAATGGAACCAAATCCAATACGAAGGAATCCGATCCCTCGTTATGAAGAAGCCACTAAAGAGCACAAAGTATGCCAAGATAGCTACAACAACCGTGTAAGCCATCATTAGGTTAAATATAACGCCGGATAAGAACGTGACGAACGAGCTTCCCGCCCAAAATGATGCCAACACGAATGTGTAGAAGAAGAAGAATCCGCCGGATAATCCGACCGCCCAGTAAGTAGTGGCGGCAAAAGCCGCCGACAGGATCAACAGAGCAGGGATAGAGATTACTGCATGGGAGATTACGTAGGAGGATCTACGGTAAGCATTGTACGCAGTTTCTCTCATGAAGATGTACCTTTCTAGAAGGAATACGGGGATTGCCTCCGCGCACGTGTAGAATGTTGTGGACATTGCGAAGGCGAAAAACCCTAATCTTTCTTGAACCCCTTTGGGGGAATCTTCGAGCTTCCGGAAGATTGTTGCGAGTATGATTCCGGTTATGAGAACCGCTCCGAATCTTGCTCCGAATAGCTCGGGTGATCTAGTGGAATTTAGGATCGATCTTTTCGAAATTACGATCATTTCTTTCCAGAAGGGGTTTGCGTATTTCGGGATGGAAGATTCGAGATTGTTGTTATTATTTGGTCCGGAAACAAGTTTCCCCATCGAAATGCTTGCACTTATGGCATTTTTTAGGGATATTCTTGGACCAATTGTATTAGGGTTTCTTGGAGGGTTGTTTTTCTTTTGCCATTTCTTGTTGAAGTCGGACAAATTATCGGTTCCGCCTGGATTACATTCGAGCTCCCGAATGTAATCGAGGGCGAATTCGATCTTATCGTCGTTTGTCGGGATAGGGTTGCCGAATTCTTGGAAGAACTGAGGGAGGAGAGATGGTGATCCGGTGAAAACGGTTTGTCCATGGGAGAGAATGATGAGCCGGTTCAGTAAGCCGAGTATTCTGTAACTCGGCTGGTGAATGGACATGACGACAATGCTGCCGGTCTGTGCGATTCTCTGCAGAACCTTGACCACCATGTGGGCGCTGGTGGAGTCCAGGCCGGAGGTGGGCTCGTCGAGGAAGAGGACGATTGGGTCGTGGATGATGTCGGCGCCGATGGATACGCGCCGCCGTTCGCCGCCGGAGACGCCGCGGCGGGACTCGTCGCCGATTACTGTGGCGGCGGCGCTGCGGAGGCCGAGCTGGTCGATCAGGGCTTGGACGCGGGATTTCTTTCTGGATCTGGGCATGGTCGCCGGCAGCCGGAACTCCGCCGCGAAGGTGAGGGTCTCCTCGACGGTGAGCATGGGGAAGAGGAGGTCGTCCTGCATGACGTAGGCGGAGATTACTTTGAGGAGCTTCGATTCCAGGGCTTCGCCGTTCATGGTGACGGCGCCGGTGAGGCTGTCTCCGGCGATGCGGTTGGCCAACGCGTCGATCAGGGTTGATTTTCCGGACCCGCTGGCGCCGAGAACCGCCGTGATTTCGCCTTCCCTGGCCTCGCCGGAGATCCCATTCAGCAGAATTTTCACCGGAGACTTCTCAGAGCTCCGGCGAGCCCTGCTGAAACACGCCGGCAGAATCCTCCGGCGAACTTTGACGCTGTACGTGAGGTTATGGAAGGAAAGAACAAAGGGGACTGATGCCGGCCGGAAAGGAGATTCATGGACGCAGAGGACTTGGTGGTGCTCCGACGGCGACCCGGCGAGCTGGAAAAGCTGGCGGAGAGTCTGGGAGGAGTTACGCTTGGGCTTCCGGCAGAATTCTTGGAGCTCCATAGATTGAGGAGGGCCTAAAAATGGAAGATCACTAGCTATGGATATATTATCACACTCACCACTCTGCATGTTTGTGCTTTCTTCTAAGGTTTGTATAATCAAGTAAACAAGAAAAGGGGTTTCTTGTTCAGTTTATATTTCGATGTCGGGTGGGGCCCGGCGGGGTGTTTCGTGTAGGGATGGCAAAAAAATCCGAACCGCTAGCTATCCGCGGGTATCCGCTCCGTTTAAAACCCATTACCGAAACCATTAGGGTTTGGTAATGGTTTTGGTAAAAGAAAAGAAAACCGTCATGGTTTTGGTATGGTTCTGGTTTTACCTTTATGGTCATGGGTATATATATATATATATATATATATATATATATATATATATATATATATATATATATATATATATATATATATATATATATATATATATATATATATATATATATATATATATATTAATTCAACATAATATGAATAAAAATAATAATTTGGCAAAAAATTTAATAAAATATTAAATAATTTAGGGAGGATATATTTGTATCATTTACTTTTTTTTTCTTCCACTTTTCTGAGAGTTACTTAAACGTTATCGGACCCAAAGTTATTTTTATTAGAACAATTTAAATGGTAAAAGGGTACCCGTGGGTATTCGGATATTCGTGGTAATGGTTCTGGTATTTCCATTGATTTTTTAAATGGGTTTGGTATGGTCATGGTTTGAGCTATATTAAATGGTAATGGTTCTGGTATTGCACTTTTTCGAGGGTACCCGCTCCGCTGCCATCCCTAGTTTCGTGTGGAGATTGAGGTTGTTTTTATGGGCAGGAGATTAGGTGAGGGAGTTACACTGCCTTTCTTAACACTTCTACTTTTCCATATATACATGCATGTATATATGTATGTGTGCAGCTACTGAAATTCACCTGGAGTTTCTATTTTGATTTATATATGCAGCTCCGCGTAAAAATATATATATATATATATTTGAATCTATACACGAGCATTAGCAGAGCCAGAATTTTGAGTCTGAAGGGGGGCCGTTAAATGTTAATCCTAGCGTAGGGCATGGCCCCCTTGGGCCTTGGCCTAATGTACACGTGTAAAATATGATATATAAATCCTGGGTTTTTAGTCTTTGAGGAATAGAGAAATGGAACAACGTCACAGGTTCTACCAAGTCTACGCAGAATGATGTTTCTTGTTGAGGATCTTTTTTCCTTTTTGTTTTGGAGATTGTGTGAGGGAATCAACTTTTAACCACTCCCAATATATATTATATAGCAGCAGCTATCAACTAATAAAGAATTTATATATAACAAAATGTACTATTATATTGATTCATCAAGATTTCTCATGAATTATTCAAGGTGGTTGTTTCACACCAAATACAGCGTAAAAACTGCTACGACATCGAAATTTAATTTATTCGATAATCAACTATGGAAAAATTCGTCCGAACCAACGACATCTACATGGAAAAAAGAAAATAAAAAGATCGGAAAAGAAAAGAAAACTGCACTAGACAACATCAGAATTTTAGATATTGCAGATTATGTATACAGCTAGTTTTCGGATGAATTCAAAACTAACACAACAATGAAAAGTCAGAACACTGGCCTAAGCATTCGTTCTTTCGATTATTCTGTGCACGGCACAATTTGTGACCATACCCCTGATGAATGTAAAGTGTCACTAATTAGGTATTAGTCTCTATGTTCCAAAACATAGTACCGGCAGAGTCTTACTGTATATTAATTCTGGGGCTGCTAATGTGGTCACCAAATTTTTCCTACTTGCATATATCTTTTGCAACACAACGCCTTGAACGAAACCCAACTTTCAAATGACGCGTGCAGAATGTCAATTGATGCCTTTTTAATCATACAGTTAAGCTAATTTCAACTCGAGAGCGATTGCTAAGCCTTGGGGCAAAAACTTGTTATCAACCATCAACCATTGGGTAAGAAAAAGATCCTTCGTACCCGAAAATATATTAGAATTTCCCTCTGATATTACTGTCACAACAGCTATAGTATTCTAATTGATCAAGAATTCTATAATCAAATAGAGGGGAGCTTACACAATACCATGATCTAAACCTAATCAAACAACATGTCATCCTGAGTTTTTGTTAAGATCATTACGAATTGACAAGATAACATCCTAAACAGAAAAAACTCGATTTTCAACAATATAGCTGTACAGAAAGTTAGCTCCCCAGTCAGTCCATGCAAGACTTCGTAACTGACGTATCGTGTAGTCGTATAAATCACAGAATACAAATTAACCAAACCGATAAAAGATATATACTAACGAATATTATCGACAATGAATAATATACTTGTATAGATCAAATGACATTCGAGCAATCCATCATAAAGCATAGAATTAAATATTAAATCACATTTTCTGCTTCTGAAAAGATGTATTCTTCAATTTCAAAGAGACAATCAAGAAGAACGCAATCAAAAAGAGGAAATCACAAAAAATCCAACGGAACTTAAGCAAAACCCTGAAAACAGAAGATACCCAAAGTTTGTTTCAGTGATCGCAGGCTGCACTGTGTGCTGAATTACCAACGGCTTGCATAAACGACATAAGAAAACTGAACTTCATGCTAGTATAGGCAGAATATTTCTTCAATACAAAAGCTAACAGAAAAGATGCACAGATATAAAGCATGTCCATACAAAAGAACACAAGAAATTCTCGATTCCTAATAGTGATAACTCAATTTAATAATGGCCCAATGAAAAGGTAAAACTACTCGATAGTAAATTCAGCATGAATGGCAAACCACAACAATGGCATTATGGATGGAGAAAAATAAGACAAATCGATAAGACAACTGAATAGCCAACTATTTCCAGCTCGGCAACAATGCACTCAACAAAGAGTGATGACATTTGTAAAATGAAATAACATTTTCCGTGATAGAGAATTGAAAGCCAATAGTCAGATAAAACTCATTGTACCTCTAAGAGAATTTAAAAGGTAAGAAAAATAAACGGAACAAGTACACAATCAGAACTTTGCAGCAAACCTATCCATATAATCGCTATATAAACTCACAATCTGTAGATGTGAGGCCGCTATAGTATCAAAAAGGAGCAGCATTTCGGATTTCCATCTTCAAAGCTCGAATTCCTCGTCTCGAAGAGCCAACTCCGCAGCCTCTTCCTCCTCGTCATCAAGTGCAAAGTACTCATTCTTCTCAACTGGCCTAAACATGTAAAAGATTATGGCATAAAAGGCAAGGCTCGCAATCTCCTCAGCTGCACTAGCCACCCACTGGTACTTATAAGCAGCAATAGTCCTAAGAGCAAACACCACGATCCTCGTGAAGTACAAGTACCCAATAACAACGATGTAGAACTGCCTAAAAAGGGTAAGCTTTGCCAGATTCCTAGCAGCCTTCCCGTCAGTCTTCGAAGTCTCCCTCAATGACCTAATAGACCACACAATGGGAAAAATAATCGCGCAGCAGCAAATAATATCCACCAACAGGAAAACCTGATTCCATGTCACCCAATCCTTGATAAACGGCCCCGTTTCACCGATCACGATAGACGCAATATTTGCCAAGACCTGCAGAGGGATCACAATCATCAAGACCTTCTTCTCCTTCTCCTGCAAAAACGGCTTCAAAAACGACCACCCCGTACCGATCAAAACAATCACAGTAAACAACAGAACAACCCTAATAAACTGGAATATGTAAAACAACACATCCCATCCGTGTGGGGTCCCCGTAACCTTCACGTAATGTTTATCCTCTGCTGCACAGAGCAAATTCAATGCCTTCATAACAACCAAAACTCCCATCAGCAAATGGATCCGATGAACCGACTTCTTATTTTGGAAACAGATAAAAAACCAGTATGCCAGAAATCCAAAATAAAGGACGGAGAAACAGAAATACAACGACGGCAATTGAGTTAGGCCGGCGGACAAGAAGTCCTTCTCTCTTCCACGGCCGTCGAGATTGTAAAGCTCGGTGCGGACATTCATGGAGACAGCAGATTCAGGGGCGCAATTGGCGAAGAAGAGGGAATACTCGTTCGGAGAAGCGATCGGGTAGGATTGGTTGAAGGAGGAGTGCGGCGGAGGGGAGAGATCCCGGAAGGTGAAGAGGCGATTGATGTTATTGGAGTCGAGCACGCAGAAGGAAGGGTTGCCCTGGAGTTCGAGGAGGACCTGAATTAGGGATTCCTCGGAGAGGAGGAAGAAACCTAATCGGGAGGGATCGGGGGAGCCGACGTTGGACATCACCGACACGGAGGAGACGGCGATGGTGGTTCGGCCGGTGTGCGTGAATCCGAATCGCTCGAAGAGGATCATGGGCCGTGAATCGGCGGAGATTTTTAGGCTTTTGATCTCCGCGGAGGCGAGCGGCAGGAGGACGAGGAGGAGAGGGAGGAGAGAGAGTAGGTTCCTCATTTCGATTGGGCGGCGGAGCGACGGAAGGGGGTGGTGGTGGTGGTGGTGCGGCGGAGGAGATTGGATCGGATTTGGGGAAATGGGGAAATCGAGAGAGAGAGAGAGAGAGAAAAAGAAGTGCCGGTGGAGTGAATTTCACAACTGTAATATTTTTTATTCCACAAATGCCCTTAGATCTGGCTCGATTGGATCGAGGGGGGCATAAGTGTTGAAAATGTGACCGCTGACCAGAATGGAAGTAATGAAAAGTTACCTAAAATAAAAGTGAAGTTTTTCATATTTGCATCTCTGGTCCCTTAACTTTTTAAAATGTTGCTTCGGACCCCTTTATTCTATACAAATCAAATAGTATGTTTGATCCGGGCTTATCTCGGCATTCAGCCCATTTGGCACAAACCAGCCCAAAGAAAATTAAGGCCCACCACGGGATGTCATGAGATTCACTCGATCGGCTCACTCGTGAGACGGTTGACGAATAGGACTCACTGAGATGCTTTAGACGACAACAATTTAACACAAATTCAATCATATATTCGGTTCATAGAATGTTTTCTACTTTTTAGCAGTTGGGGGCAGTACGTGAAGCCTGTTCACAATGAAGGTGCTCAACGGTGAGCTACCATATATACCTGGTTCAGCCAACTGCGGAGCTCTACAATAAGCAAATTCAACCAACTCAGTGCCGATTTCCTAGATCATTTCGCGAGCTGTTTTTGGTGTGCATGATGAACAAGGGATACGACAATCATATATCGACGCTCTGGTGATCACGACCACGATACATAAGATACTATTAACATATAATTATAATTATTATGAAATAAAGAAGAAATAGGAAAATAATTAAGAGCAATTATTGAATGCTTTGTCCACATGGTACAAGAGTGCTGCTTATTGCAAAAATAAAATGGAAAAAATAGTATCGTGCGTGACACAAAATGTGAGTCAAAACTATCAAGGGTATTTATGGTAATAAAATACGGCGAGGCGCGAAACAAATGGCTCAAGACTCGAACTTTTTTTCCTTTCAATAACGCTCATCGTTCTTCTCCATGTTTGTTTCTTTCTTTCTCTCTCATCGAAATCTATTCATTCGTGTCTCTCTCTCTCTCTCTACATCTTCCTCCGCGCAATTAATTCTCTCCGATCAAAACAGCCAATTTGATAAAATGTCGTGGATTCGATCGGCGGTGAGCAAAGCGGTGGAAGTCGGCGGCAACAACAATATCACCCGTACGGTTCGCGGATACGCCGACACCGTCGTCAACCAAGCCGGACAAGCAGTTGTCGGCGGCGCTAGGCTCATCCAGGATCGCATTGTATTATCCTCTAACATCTCAATATGGAATTTTGTTTTTTGTTTAATTAATTACATTTGATAAAAGCTTATACGTCGTCGTTAATCAACTTTAACATCGGTACTGTTTTTTTTTTTTTTTTTTTTGCTGGATCAATTTCTGCATAAAATGAAAATTTTACCTCTGCTTGTGACCTAAATTATCGTATAAGATCATCAGTTGGGGAAAATTCTCATTTTTTAAAATTTGATATTTTTTTTCATGTTCTGTTTCCTGCCAATATATATGCTGTCTACTATATTAAGGCAAATGGATTAACAAAGAGATGGATTAGTTTTTCACTTGGCTTTTTTCCGGGAAATAACTTAAGCCATGGTTAATATTATTCTCTGATAATGTAGGGATCTCGGAATTTCCAAAATTATAAGCTAGCAGTAAAACGATTAGAAGAAGTTTCGGTTTCGTGTAGAGGGGCGGAAAGAGTTCAGTTACTACGAAGATGGTTAGTTGCCTTGAAAGAGATAGAGAGACTAAACGAACCTGTCAACTCCGAACACAATGACAAGTTCGGTGAATCGAATGGTTCTCCTCACGAAAAGCCAACTATGGTATGTGTTTCGCCAAAGGCGTGCTATATATGTATATATGTGTGTGTGTGTGTGTGTGTGTGTGTGTGTGTGTGTGTGTGTGTGTGTGTCCATTGACGCAGCCTTACTATATAAGTACAATGGCTAGGTTATGTATTACGATCACGATCTTGGTGGAGAACCAATGAATTTCCGCGATGTATTCCTTCACAGTCAAGCCCTTGAAGGCATTACGCTGTCTTTGGTAAGTGTAGCCGTTTACTCACAATTCCGTTTATCCATGTGCTCCTTATCGTGGCAGTGGTGACAGTATTTTCCTACTATTCGACATAAGATGAAATACTTATCCTGATAATAAATATTAACGTTGCCTGTTTTTCTTTGTTACGTCTGTCGCAGATTCTTGAAGAACCCGATGAAGAAGAACTTTCGCTGCTTCTGGAGATATACCGGTGATTCTAAATTGTCTCGTTTCCTATATATGTTTATTGTGGTTATCAGATCACCAATCAATTACGAAGATTTTTTGTAATTGAATTTCATATTTCGTTTCCAGGATCTGCCTTAAGGGTGGAAAAGAAGCTCATGATGGGACAACGAGCAGTGTTCGAGGTTTGGCAAAAGCATTCTCAACCTACAATGAAGAAGTACTGGTACAGTACTATAAACCCCGTGAAATTTTGTTACGTCATTCGTTTCATTAATATGGAGATATAGACGAAGATACGAACATTTTATTTTTCCTCTTTCGTTGTCTAATTAATTACAGGCAAAGAGGGAAGAACTGCTGCAATTTGCACAAGAAGCTATAGCTGGACTTAAAGTAAATGCTGAGATAGTAAGGTGGTTAAGGGTATACTTTCCATGTATTATGTATATGAGATTCTTTGGAACAGCTGCTTTTGAATTAACCTTTACTACGTTAATTATTTTTTATGTTTTGTTGTTTTAATTTGCTCTCAGAATAGATTCGGAAGTCTCGGATATACATAAGAAACTAGACGTCATGAAAGACCAGCTGCCTCTGAGTGAAGATATCGGGAGATCGTCTGAATACGGATCCGGGATGTCTACAGAGGTGAGGTGATTTTCAACTGTCTGTAGTTATAACTTAAATCCCCAGTCTGTTCAGGTTTTTAGACGTGCAGTTATGATTCAATCTGCAGAATTTAGAGGAAGCGCTCGAGCATGTTAGACTTTGTTCCCGGTTGGAGGAGCTTCTATTGCGGAAGAAACTCATGAAGAATGGGGATTCTCCAGCAGCCCATATTCAAAAGGTCTCTCTCTCTCTCTCTCTCTCTCTCTCTCTCTCTCTCTCTCTCTCTCACACACACACACACAACACACTACCATAGATATTCATTTTCAGCATACTTTTAATTGTTGTGCAGATTGATAAGTTGAAGATATTATCGGAATCTCTTGCAAGCTCTGCCTCAAAAGCTGAAAAGCGCATTTCAGAGAATAGGTTTGTAGTTGTTACCTGTCTTTCTTACACGTGTCATCGTTTTTTTTTTTCCGCCCTAACACGAAGAGAATACTACACTTAGCAACATTCATAATATGTTTCAAAGACAATAACTTAACTATATCTGGAAAGAAACACCGATCTTTACTTTCAGATGTCTGAACCTCTGATAACTTCTTTTTCTCGTTCCGCAAACAGAATACAGAAAGAAGAAGCTCTTAAATTTCGTGTAGCTAAAAGTGGCGAAGTGAGCATACTCGAAAAGGTAAAATGTCTTTCAACAGCTGTCGGTGCTTATATATACAATTTAATAGCTTCTTAATTCGTATCGTGCTCAGAAGCATAGACTTGATATTGTAACTATTACTCAGGAATTAGTTGCTGAAATCAAAGCTCTTGATATGAGAAAAGACGAGCTCGAGGAAGAGCTAAAAAAGGTTACAACTGCTTTAACTTCTGCGCATGGCCGCCTCCACAACGCGAGGGAAGAAAGAGATCAGTTCGATCAAGCTAGTAATCAGATTGTTCAACATTTCACTTTGAAGGTACAATATCTTTTTTCTTTTTTTTCCTGAATGTAGAATATTCGTTGTACGAATATCAATTTTACGATATAGTGATTATATAACAATGCTCAGGACGATGAGCTGGCTAAATCGATTACTTCGTATAGAGCAGAGGCAGAAGTTTGCAACAGATTCGTTAATTTTCTCGAAAACACGCATCTTTTCCAGTCATCATATTCTAAACAAAACGAGAAGCTGCTCAAGTAGGTGCTCTCTTTTCCACACTTCATATTTTTCAAATATTCTCGTAACTATTTTTACGAATTTTCTACGTGCAAGTGATGAGCTGGAGAGACACGAAGAGTACTTCGTTAATCTTGCTATAAGCGTTTTAAGTTCATATAAGGAGGAGTTGGGACCTTCTATTTCTGCAGTCAAGCATATTGTCCAGAATTTGAAAAGGTAATTTTTTTAAATTATTTTTATTTAATAAATAATCTGACAGGAAACACATACCGAAACATCAAATTCTGTCAGGTTAGATGGAATATCCACCACAGACGAAAAGGATAATTCATGGAAATCACTTGAAGAACAGTACCAAATTTCATCAACCAAGGTGTGCATATGTTATTCTTACATGCATACTAGGTTTTATTTCATTGAAAAAAAAAAAAGCGCCTTTCGTGCATATTATGGTTTTCTTGTTAATCGATGATTACGTCACAGTTGATCACCACATTCACCATAGTGGAAAGCATCAAGAAACAGTTTTCAAACCAGCAAGACGATAATTCGAGGTAATTTTTTTATTTTTTTATTAATTTATCTTGGTGGTTTTAAATTTTTGAAATGTGGAGGGAAAATGTGACTAACTGTTATAACCAGAAGAAGTGATGGAAAAGTGAAGGAACTATTAGACGAAATCGAAAAGTTCAAATCCGACTTCGAATCGATCGAGAAACCCGGTTTGGAATCCGAAGCAGGTCCGTTTACGAGAGAAGAGACACCAAAGGCAAGAACCCCAAGAATATCGTTCCTCTCTCAAAGACAGAAAAACGAGCAGCTCAGTATCGAATCATCGGAAAACGAGGCACAAGGAGGAGGAGGAGGAGGGATATCATTGTCTTTTACCACTCCAATTTTAACACTGCCTTTGATTCGAAATAGGTCGATGAAAATGGTGGCAACAAATCATACAGAGACGGACCACGTACAACACGTGGAAAACATGGAAGCTCTTGTAATGGTAAATAATCGGAAAAAATCTTCAGATGCAGAGGCACAGTTATCCATGTTGAAACTGGAGTTGGAACTCGAGAATCACAGCAGACGAAGCTCAACGGAGGGGATTATCGACTGGGAATTCGACGAGAAAGAACACGAAAAACTGCTTCATAATAATATTCACACTTTTTAATATTATTTTTACAAATTTTATTATTACCATTGAAACATACACATTCTCACAATTCAAATTCTTTGGTTTATTTATTTATTAATTAAAATATTTATAAATGTTGCCTTGTGACTTGTGAGTGATTATATATGTATTTATTTGGTCCCTCTCCATAATGTGAAGATTAGTGATAATTTTTTTAATTAGCAGGCAATTAGATTAAACTAATAACAAGCCAATAGAATACTGCCACATAGGAAAAAAAGATCTAGCAGTCACCTTTTTTTATGTTTGTCAGATGGCATGTGATAAATCTGATGTCGGACTCACAATGGGTCCTCTAATTGCTCCCTTTATATTCAAAATAAATAAATAAATAAGAACCAAATGAAATTTAAATAAGTACTTACAAAGAAATAATTACAAACACGTTTTTCAAAATAAAAAAAAAAACAAATACATTTAAATCTCTTTAAATTAATACAGTCGGGACTAATAAAATTCTTTTAATTTAGCGAAATATTAAATTATCAAACTAATAATTTAATATGTTTTTTTAACGAGTTGAGATCAGAAAAGTATTATTTAAACGAGGTTATTACTTTATCGAGGTTCTACGGTAAAATTGAACGATTTTATTACTTTTGTTCCGTTATTTTCAAATTCAAATAAAATAATCAATTTGTTTTGCCAACTAATTTCTCTTGTTACTAATAAATTTGTCCATTAGTGAGAACAGATATTATAATTTAAAGAACAACAGGGTAAAATAAAACTATGAATTAATTTTAAACAAATGCAATATTATATTAAATAAAATATCTTACCTCAATGCGATATTTAACCTGAGGGGTCACTTGCACGTGGCAGTGGGTAGGGGCCCCTAAGTGGGGCTCCACATTTTTTGTTTTTGTGTTTAAACATTTGTGGGGTTAATAATAACACAATAATAAGGCTAGGGGCTGCACTCTAATTTCTAGGTTAATTAATTAATTATTAATTATTAATATTCATAGTAATACAAGAGTGTGCAAACAAAAAGCCTCGACCTTATTTTTTTCCAATTAACAATATTTCGACAGAGCATTGAAAGTTGTTGAACCCAATGGAGGGTAGTAGTTAGCAGTTGTAATCAACCAGGGTAAAAATAGAAAATATTTAATAATGTCTCAAAACAGTATTTCAAAAAAAAAAAAAAAAAAAAAAAAATCCCCATGTTTGACCGAGTCAACTAGTATTTTTTAGAAGGGATGGGTTTTTTTTCCACTTCAAGTTTATTTTGTTTGTGGTAGGGATGAAGACGACTTCAACCGAACGGAACGTAGGGTTTGATAAACTATCGAGTTGAGCTCGATCAATATTTAATCAAGCCAACGAGTCGAGCTCGAATGATATTAACGAGTTCAGGTAAAAAGACGCAATTTTTTTTTGTTTAGGGAACAAAGTGCAATACACACTTAGTTTAGGGGGCAAACTGACAAGTTCATTAATGAATTATTAAAAATTGGAAAGAGGTCAAAAATGAAAATAAAATAAATAAAATTGGCTATAAAAAGAGAGAAAAAAAACCTGACAATTACCTTACACCAGTCTCATGCTTTTCTGACTTGGAACCATCCCTCTTTCAAAAAAACATTTTGATGCTCTCTCTGCCTTTCTCCCCATAAGCATCTTCACAAATCACACACACATACACACAAATACACACACACAAATACATACACACAGAGAGAGATTTCAAGCTTTCAAATTTGATGAAAATGGCTAATAATCTCTCAATGCATGATGATTATGCAGATGAAGATGACTACATAAACATAGAATTCATCACTTCTTCTTCCTCTTCTTCTTCACCGAAAAGCAGAGAATTCGAGTTCCAATTCACATCTTCTCTCACTAGCAATGAGAGAGAAACCCCCACTTTCTTCCCCGCCGCCGCCGACGACCTCTTCTATAAAGGCCGGCTCCTCCCTCTCTACGTCCCACCTCGCCGCCAGATGCTCAACAACCTCCTCCTCCACACCACCGTCGCTACCGCCGCATTCGAAATGCCGCCGCTACTCTGCTCCACAGCACCCTGCACCGCCGCATTCAACACCCCCACAGATTCATGCAACATTTCCCCATCGGAATCTTGCAGGGTGAGCTGCGAGCTCAACCCCGACGACTACTTCTTCGAATGGTCCTCCGAATTAAGCAGTTTCCTACACAACCCCCTCAACAATCACAGTATTGCAAAAAAGTCCAAAAAGCAGAAGCTGATTCAGAAGCTGAAAGCTTCCAGGGCTTTTCTCAAGTCCCTCTTCACCAAATCAACTTGCAATGCAGAAGAACAAGAAGCAGCCGATGAAAAGAAGCTGCCGAAAGCCGATGCCATGAAAATGCCGACAATCGCCACTATTATCAAGAACAACATCGATAATAATAATACTATTATCAATAACAATAATAATCATAATAATGTGGGAAACGAGGAAGTTCAGAGAAGATCGTTTTCCGGTGCGATTAAACGGGCGAAATGCATGTCTTCGTCGAACTCTTCTTCGTCGTCGAATTCCTCTTCTTCTTCGTCCTCCTTTTCGATTAATTCGAATAATGGTTTCCATGAGCTGCAGTTTCTGAGGAGGAGCAGTAGTGCTACAGAGATTGAGGGTTCCATTGAAGCAGCCATTGCTCATTGCAAAAAAGACCAGGTCTTTTTTCCATAATTTAAGAGGAAGAAATTTCTAAATATGGGAAAATAAATAAATAAATAAATTTGGTGGTGTTCAATCATTTGATTAAATATTGGATTCTGTTGTACAGCTTGTGACATTTTTTTTTCTTCATTAAATAATTGTGTTTTTCTTCTTCTTCTTCTAATTACACTCCAAAGATTGCATTTTTATTGCACTCTTTTTGTTCAATAGTACCTCAAAATATTGATACTTTGACCTAATCTTGCATTTTACTACATTTGATGAAATTCCTAGCTCTAAGACAAACCAAAAAAGTAATAAGAAAATAAAAAAAAAATAATGTAAGAAGACTACAAAATAAAGAGCTTTCCCCACAAACTTTTAGGCCTAGTGGGACTCGACCTTTCCAGTTTCTGCTTGTTTGAGTGCCATATGATTTTATTTATTTATTTATTTATTACTAATTATTATGTTATTACGAAGTAACGCGCACCCGTAGAAAGTGTTGATAAGAGAAATCGAACCAAAATTATTAAACTAAAAACCTCTCCAGTTTTGCTTGCTCGAGTTGTTATATGATTTTCTGTAGTTGCAAAGTTTCGTGATTTCGAAATTATGTTACTACAGTTAAACCGCTATAAATTAATATAGGGGACTAACAAAACCCTATTAATTTAGCGAAATGTTAAATTATCAAACTAATAAATAATACATTTTCTTTTTAAGCGAAATTATTAATTCATCAATATACTATTGTATCAGGAAAGAGGACCATCTATTATAAGAATGTTTTTTCTTCTACTTTTATTATCTGAGATAAATGCCTAACACATGAACCTCAATAAAAGTGAAAAATGTAATAAACTTTTTTCCTTGTCGAAATAAAAGGTGGAAAAAGTTGTTCAGGGGGAATCTTCCCATTTACTTTTTCAACACAACCTTATTTATCTCTTCTTCTTTATTTTAAAAAATAATTAATAAGAAAATGGGCAAATTACGGCCACCACTTTGAGGTATGCTCAAATTACAAAAAGACCCCCTTACGTTTGGGTAATTACAACCACCCCTCAACTATTACACATTTACCCTTACGGTGTCAAATTTACCTGCTAAACGATGTTCTTTTTTATAAGACAATACATAGTTGAGGGAGTGGTTGTAATTATTTAAACAAGAGGCGTTTCTTCGTAATTTTAGCATACCTCAAGGGGCTGGCCGTAATTTGCCCAAAAATTTAATTTCCAGAAAATTGAGAAAGAGTAAAATAAATTTTCAGAAACTTAATTAAAATAGCACCATCAACCAAATATAGGAAAAATAAAAAAGAGGCATATAATAAAAACAAATCATCTATGGGCACACATGCTTTATTAGCTGCTGATATAGTCCAAGAATAGTTGCTTGTGACCATGTCATTCTGATTCTTCACAAAGGTGATTCTAAGAAAATCACACCAAAAAAAAAACGAAAAAGCAAAAATAATGTCGATTACTTTCGAATCAACGCGCAATTATGTCTTCTGTGGTAAACCTAACTATTAGCAATCGCAGAGCCACCACAGATCTCCGTCGGTGACGAACCCCACCAACACTAATTATTATAAAAAAAATCTAATACTTAAAAAAAAAAAAAAATCTTATGCATATTCCGCGTACTCAAATCTCCATATTCCCAGAGCTGTGTTTCTTCAGAAATGAAATGTTTGACCAAATTATTATCAAATATACGCAGTTTTGCTCCAAATAATCTCGACCGTTCGCTGATTAGGATATCGACACCATGCAAGCTTACAATTTTTTTTTTTAGTATATACTGTGAAGAACAGTGGGCACATGTATTTCTATCCAAATATAGGACCACCTCCACTATAAACTTGTGAATATTTCCATATTTAGTGCAAATACAAAGAACCACCTATCTTCATCTTCTTGAATACACTGTGCTGTTACGTATTTTTTTCTGCGAAATTCTCTTAATCTTCTACTATCGGTGACGCCTTCACAGTATCTGTATCTAGAAATAAATAATTGTCTAACTCTCTAAAGGCTGAGGTTATCCCACATCGTATCTCCCTAAGTTAAATATATATATTATTTATGGATTTCTCGAGAAGACGGGTCGTCTAGGAATGTGATGGGTCACTAAGGAAATAATTTAATTGATACGAAATTTGCTAATTGCCAAAGGAAAGAAGAGCCAAAATGGGGGATAAGGTCAAACTTGATAGTTCCAAACAAATAGAGAGCCAAGAATTAGTTGGGGTAGCAGGACCATGTAAGCCAATTACCTTCCCTAATGTTGTTTCGGCACTTTTGGATCGCCCCACTTTTTGGTTTTGTTTTTACGTTTGCTAATGTTTGAAAGCGAAAACTCGGGTATTTCTTTTTATAATCCTATTTAATTCCTCAAAAAAGGACAGGTGTGACTTTTGTTCACTTAGTAATGATCCTAAACTAAACCAACAAGTACTGGTAGAGACAAGTTTTATAAACTGAACCAGGAAACCAAAACTAACACAGTTAATAATACTCCTTTGAATTTTTAAGACAGATAACTTCATGTGTTTTTGGAAGAGGAGAAGTTTTTATGTAAATTTGCAGGGAGCAAATTCAGTATTATGTTTCTTTATGTTACAACTTCAGATGGACTGAATATCACTGAGGGAGCTATTATAAGTTTTCCTCTCCTCACATAACTCATCCTTAAAAATCCACCAAATTAGTCGATTTCAAGAACCTATTTTCAAATTTACAGACTAACTGGAGAAAAAAAAAAGGTCCGGTCGAAACTCATACCTTTTTTTTTTTCCGCATCAAATAGCATATATAGGGTTGACTTCCGTATCAGTATCCGAGTGCCTCCATGAGTTTGTCCCGCTCCTCGCGTACTTATCTTTCTTTCTCACCTTCCGGAACCTTCTAGATTTCACCACGTAATATGTCATAGCACTCAAAACCCCTGCCATAGTAGCTCCACCAATCACAGTCACAAGAATCGCCGCCCACTTATTATGCCGCCCCACAACTATATAAGACGAAGCAATAAAAGCCACGGTAGTGCAAACAGATGCTAACCACATCAACTTATTGATCACCTCCACAACCCTCCTCTCCGATTTTATCTCACCTCTCACAACTGTGATCTGCACTACAACGACAGCCAGTGACGTAAAAAGGGCCACGGCGTTAGATATAAAGAAGACCTTGAAAGCTGGGCTGGTCACAGCCACAGCCATTCCGCTGTTGTTGTCGCCTCCAGGAACTGTAAAAATTGCAGCGAAGGCAACTGTAGCGAATAGGACAGCCACCACTGTGACCGAGTTGGTGGCATTGTTTATTCCTTCTCTGTGGAGTTTTCTGAGCTCCTTCGCTATCCCGTTGACATTTTTGTTTGTTTTGCGAGCTTGTTCGAGCTGGATGTGTACGTCTTTCTTGATTTCCGAGACGGTTTTTCGAAGCTCGTCTCGTGGCTGGTTCAGTTCGTTGGCTCTCAGAGCACCGTAGCGAGTCAAGCACTCTTTGATTTCCACGGTTTCTTCGGACAGAGGGAGAGATTCGGCTATGTCGAGAGCGGTTTTGTGGTCTCTTGTCAGTGCATTAACATTTGTGTCTCGAAGCAGTAATAGTTCATGCACAATCTGCAATTGCATTTAGTACCCGCGATCAAATTGCTAAAAAAACCATCGAAAGTGAGTTTTGAGGGGGTAGTTCGCTAAAAAAAATTGAATCATGGGGGGTGGGGGGTGGGGTGGGGGTGGGGTGTTGGAGGTTTGTCAATTAAATAACATGGGGAGTTTTTTTTAACGATTAGAATTTAGAGAAAATAGAAGGGGGGGTGCCGAATGCAACAAACCCCACTGACGACACTAATAACTGACAACTCTAAAACGTCCAATTGCAAAATCTGCTCAAATTCTTTTAAGACCAAAAAGTACTACATATGGGAGACAAACATAGTGTTATTGATATCAGCTTCATAGTTAGGAACAAAATGGTGATAAACAATACCTCAGCACGCTTTTTCCGGGTGGCTATATGCAATGCAGTGTTACCAAATTTATCCGGGAGCATCACAATGGCTGCATCTGCTTGCAGAAGCAACTTAACCACTGAGGAACTAACGCCTTTAGCAGCCATGTGTAGTGCAGTTTGTCCCTTCTTATCTGTCCTTCTAGCCAGTTGAGGGTCCTTTTCCAGCAATGCTTTGACAATAGCTACATGGCCTTGGCGGGCGGATAAATGTAATGCGTTTTTGCCGTTGGATCTTGATATCTCTAGCAAACTAGAGTCCTTTGAAAGCAATATATTGACAACTGCCAGGTGTCCTTTTGTTGCTGCTGATATGAGAGGAGTCGCATTTGATTGAGCCACTGTTTTGCTTAGCTGAGGATCGTGTTCTAACAACATCTGGACAATATCTGTAAGAGCAAACGAAATATACGGTTACTTATGTACAGTAACTCAATATATTGGAAGTCTAAGATATGCAGGATGCGAAAATATCAATAAACCTGAACGACTATTCAGGTTCATACTCAACATCCTAGGAAATTCACATCTTATGACCAATGATCACACACAAGAAACGATATGTCAATTTAAACAGACTTCATAAATACGGATCAACCATTCGAGCACAAGTTAAGAAAGAGTGAAATTACCATGATGGCCTCGACTTGCTGCAATGTGCAACGGGTCAAAACCTGACCTGTTCTTCATCCTAATCCCCTCATTCGTCGAATAAGGCAACAATTCCTTCACTACATCAATATACCCCTTTTCCGACGCTGTGAAAAGTGCAGTCTCCCCCAATTCATTGACCTCGTTCACTACAACGGACCTGATCTCTGCCACCTCAGCATCGAAATCAGCCCCGTTTGATGTCTTCAGCATCTGCTCATCAATCTCCCCTAAAATCTGCCTCACTACCGCTACGTCACCCTTCTGAGCGGCCAAATGGAGCTCTGTATCATTGTGCCGACCCGTCACCTGCTTCACGTACTTCTTCTTTCCTGATTGGTCCATTCTTTTACCGGAATTCGAAACTACCAATGCTTTACCGGAGTTTGAAACAAACAAGGCCTTTCCGGAATTCGAGGCGGCCAAGGACTTGCTGGAATTGGATACCACCAAAACAGCCGCTCGAGGCGAAGGCGATGGTGAAGGTGAAGGCAAATCTAGGGTTGATGAGCCCATTTCGAGATCCCTTTCGCCTGTTTAACAAGATTATCATCATCCTCATTCCAGAACACAACAGGTAAATGACGAAATGATGAATACTTCTCGCCGATTTTTAGAACGACGTGAAAAATGATGCAAAATTGATCAAAATGTGGACCAACGTATTCCAAATTACAAATCTGAGCTGGTTTAGCATATCAACGAATTGTTCAAAATCAGAATATGAAACCAAAACCCCTCCAAATTAACAATCAATTTGCATACATTTCGAGCCCCATTTAAATTCTTGAATTCATCCTCATTTCAGAACACAAACAGGTAAACGATTAAATGATAAAAACTTCTCGTTGATTTCTAGAATGACTCGAAAAATTATGAAAAAATGGACGAAAAGTATTCCTAATTTACAAAATCAGAGACGGTTTTGGTATATCAAGGAATTGTGACCTAGTAATTAAAATATGAAACCAAAACCCTCCCAAATTCCAATCAATTTGCGAGCCCAATAAAATTCCAATGAATTCATCTCTCTCTACAATTCCAAATGCAACTGATTCTCGTTAAGAAATAGCCATTTTTTTTTTATGTCCACATTGCTAATTTGGGGTACGTACCTTCTTCATTTACGGAAACCATTGTGAGAAAAACCCTGTTCTGCTGATAATTTTTTTTTTTGATTTGTCTGCTAATTAAACATTAATTATATGTTGTTTAACGGATTGCAAGGAATGTGTGTAGAATTGTGCGCTGAAAAAGTAAGGAGAAAGCAGCATAGGAAACAGCGGAGAAGGTGGTGGGAGAAGAGGCGGAGGTGGTGGTGGTGGTTGCGGTGGAAAGTGAATGTAAAAAAGTCGGTGAGGAATAGCACGTGTTGACGCCGCCGGGGCCCACCACTATTAAAGCCATAAAATTAATTAATTAATTTAATAAATGTGGATTAAGACTTTAAGTATTTTATCGAGTTTTATAAATGACAAGTCAAGCCAACGGATTTATATTTTAAAAAAAGGTAAATTACGACTAACTAGGAGATAAAGTCAAATTATGAAGAAAAAAAATCGTGTTTGAGTAATTACAACCACCTTTTTCAATTATAAGTTTTCTTATATGTTCATGTCAAATTTAGTGGGATCTTTTAGATTATACAGCATATTCTCCAGTTTCTATCCGTTTTATTTTAATCGAGCTCCACATTTTAAAATAAGATAATCGTAAGATGTGTCTCTTGACTTGTAAATATCAGATTGTGGTATGTAAAAAAAATGTATTTTTACACAAAACGAGTACAAACTAGAGAACATTCTATAGAATCTCGAAGATTTTGTTAAATTTGACACCATAAATAAAAATAGACGTGTAAGAAGATTCATAATTGAGGGGAATGTTATAATTATCCAAATGGAAGGGTTATTTCGTAATTTACCTTATATTTTATCGTGCATAAATAGATCAAGAAAAGGTGAACGGTGAAAGAGCTCGCATGGTTGTAGCTCGATTGGTTCTGGGGGTGATAAGTTGGTACAAGATCCTAGGATTGAATTCTGGCAGCCGCAGTGTGGGAATTTCAACTCCAATGATGGTTGATTCTTGTGGGCACCAAGTCCGGATTCACTAACCTAACGAGCCGTTGAGTTAACATAATTTACATCCCTCTATCAAATATTTATCTTGTCAAGGGATAGAGGCCTGGGCCGACGGATTTGGTACAAGAAAAGGTGAAAGAGCCCAATTAATTTTGGTCCAATAATATTGCAAACATTGGGCCAAAACAACCTTATATAAATGCTCCAAAGTTTTCATTACATAAAATAAATTATTTTATGAGTGGAATTTTATTCATTGTAATACCCCTAAACTAAAGTATAAACAATAAACTATTATTTACTATGTATAAAAATACAAATGTAGTAAAATTTATAAAAAAAAAAAAAAAAAAAAAAAAAATTCTGTTCATTTTGAGCTCGACGACCCCAATTTGATTATATATTTTTTGTTCGATAAACTACGAACTTCGTTAAAAAGATCGTATAAAATATCAAGTTGCTCTAATTCGATTCATATTCGCTAAAGCTCGCTCCATTCAATTAAATTAAATTAAAAAATATATATATAAAAAAACCTAATTCCAAACGTAATTTTAGAAGCTCAATTAAAATGAAATTTAAAATTAAAATAAAAATAAATAAACAAGTAACTATGTATTGGGCTTCGTCCCCTTCACTTGTCGGAATAAACGTTTCCGTTAGAAAGTCAAAGACATTGACTAATGCCGACAAGCAAAAACTGTCGGTAAGTTTCATCTTCATTTAATTGCACCCCCTCCATAAATATCGGAATCGCCATTTCCGTTTCTTGAACCCCAGCTGAAATCCCCACCCACCCTATAAATACAAACCATAATATTCTGAAAATTCTGCAACCAGAAAACCCCAACCCCACAATTCTAGGATATTCAGACATGGGTTTGCATTTTCCGTACTGCCACGTAGATTCCACCCTCCGTGCTCTCGCCGGCCAAGCTGAGGGCTTCGGCCGTTCCGCCGTCGGCGGCCTTCACGGCGCCGTCTACTGCGTCACCACCCTCTCCGGTAAACAAACCCCCACCAAGATCGTTGGTTTTTTTTTTTTTAATTGTCTGATTGTTTAATTTGATTTCTTCTTCGGACAACCCTGTTAATTAATGGGAAATTGCAGTTTTCACCCCTCAAATTTGCATAGATTTCACACTTGGTCCCCATGTTCACGAAAAACACATTTGGTCCCTCGTATTTCAATAGTTTGACACTTTTGGTTATTTTCGTCAAGTTACTGTTAGTCCGTCAGTTAAGGCACTGTTGGTCACATGTTTGATTTTGTTATTACTAACAGAAAATTGACGGAAATGAGTAAAAGTGTTGAATTTTTAAATAATGGGGGCCCAAATGTATTTTCTGTGAACATGGATGACCAAATGTGAAATCGGTTCGAACTCGAGTGCCGTTAATTAATCCAGTTAGTCAAACTAATCTTTATTAATAACATGATAATTAATTTCTACTTATAGATGACGGGCCGGGCTCACTCCGTGATGGATGCCGTAAGCAAGAACCACTCTGGATCAAATTCGAAATCTCGGGCACAATTAAACTCTCATCGTACTTAACCATATCTTCTCACAAGACCATCGACGGGCGTGGTCAACGGATTAAGATCACGGGCAAAGGATTAAGGTTGAAAGAATGCGAGCACGTAATTATCTGCAACCTCGAAATCGAAGGTGGGAGGGGCCACGACGTCGACGGGATTCAAATAAAACCGAATTCGAAGCACATTTGGATCGATCGGTGTAGTTTGAGTGATTTCGGTGATGGAATGATCGATATCACTCGAGAGAGCACCGATATTACTATTTCTCGGTTCGCGTTACTATTATCGACTTTAATTTCGTTCTAGCGAATGAAATGTAGTTAGATCGTTTTTTTTCGTTTGACCTTTTTTTTTTGGTTTTTTTTTAGATGCCATTTTGCGAATCATAATAAAACGATACTAATTGGTGCGGATGCTTCTAATACGGGCGATAGATGCATTAGGGTTACGATTCACCATTGTTTCTTTGACGGGACTAAACAGAGGCACCCGCGTGTTCGGTTCGGGAAGGTGCATTTGTATAATAACTACACTACTAATTGGGGGGTTTATGCTGTTTGTGCTAGTGTGGAATCTCAGGTGATTTTTTTTTTTTTTTTTTTTTTTAATTTATTAATTTTTTATATAAATAAATATTTTTTAAATTTATGTTGATTAATATTTTTGGTGATATATTGATGTATTTTTTTATTTTTCGTAGATATACTCGCAGTGCAACATATACGAAGCTGGACAAAAGAAGGTGGCCTTCAAATACTACACGGAAAAGGTGTAATATTCGCGAACTTTTATTGCGACGAATTTCAAGAAAATATTTAAAGAAAATTATTCTAACTATTTGCGTCAAATTTTGATTTATAGGCAGCTGATAAGGAAGAAGAATGCACCGGCTGCATTAAATCCGAAGGTGATTTATTTGTGTGTGGAACTGATTCGGGGCTAACGCCCCTACCGGAAGAAAATTCCGTTTTTAACCCTAGCGAGTATTACGAGAAGTGGACGGTCGAAGCACCGACCGATGAATTGAAGCATTTTCTTCAACACTGCACGGGATGGCAGGACGTTCCACTGCCCGCTGATATATAACAGCGCGTATAGATGCATAATAAATATATACGTATACGTATACTTACACTTCTGCCGTGATATTATCATGTTTGCTTTGTTTTGGTTTTTTCAATTGATGTTTATGAACAGAATGTAATAAGATGTGTAACTTTTGGTTGACTGATGTATGGTGAAACATTTCTGTTCCTTATGTAGCTTATTTAAAACTTAAAATCAAATCAAAATTATTCGATACTCGATTCAAGTTCGTTCTTTAAAAGTTACAATTTCGTTTGAGCTCGGTTAAGAAAAAAAAATAATAAAATGTGTAAAAAGGAAAAAAAGAAAAAAATTATTCAATCTCGATCACAACTTTGAAAATTCAATAAAAAATTAAATAAAATTGAACAAATATGCACATCTTTGTAAACTCGATAAAAGTTTTAATGTACTCGGTCTAGAAGCACAGTGAAGCCCCCAACTATTAACCAAAATGAATAGATTATATTTCAGGTCCATAATTAAATTAATCGAGCATATAATTATCATTTTACAGTAGTAAATTTTGATTACATTCTTTTCATATTTTTCTCTCGGGCGTGGATTGACTTAAGCATCGGAGGGTTTCTGCCGAAACCAAGCTCCGACGCCCTAACGTGAGTTTTTACGCATGAAACGCCTCGTTTTTCCCAATTGACGAAGATTATCGAATGATTATTTTCAGTATTCTCGAATAATTTACTTCAGATTCAATTTAATTAGTTGTTCACCACATCAAATTTGAATAAAAGTAATTAAACATTGAAGTAGACTTTAAAATATTTTTTTGGGCAAATTGATTTAAAATAAAGAAATAAAAATAAATTTGAGTAATACAAAATAATTTTAAAATTAATTTGCGGCAAAATTGGAACAAACACACACACACACAGATGAGATGAGATACCTCCACTCCACCTTCTTCCCATCATCTTCTTCCTCTCACCTCTCCCATTTCTTAACAGAGTAACCATGGCCTGAAAACCCTAGCTCAATTTTTTCATCTCAACATTTCTCCGACAACCAAAGAAATTCAATCAGCGATGAAGCAATTGCACAAGCAATCATCAATGCCAATCTCCCACGCATCCCAGCTCTACTCCCCCAAATCCCTCAAACACCCCAGATCCCTCCCCAGATCCATAACCTACCTCCTCAAGGAGCAGCGCCTCCTCTTCATCCTCGTCGGCGTTTTCATCGGCTTCACCTTCTTCCTCCTCCAGCCCTCCCTCTCCCCCGCCGATCCCCGCCCCCACCTCTTCTCCGCCACCCGCGCCTCGCTAACTACCGACCCCGATCCCGCCGCCGCCGCCGCCACTTACGCGAATAGCAACCCGGTCGCTCGTAATAACCCCAGGTACTCCAATGGCGTCGGCAGAGTGCCGGTCGGGATTGGATCGAAGAGGCGGAGGATTGTCGTCACCGGCGGCGCGGGATTCGTCGGGAGTCATCTGGTGGATAAGCTGATTGCCAGAGGCGATGACGTCATTGTGGTTGATAATTTCTTCACTGGGAGGAAGGAGAATGTGGTGCACCTGTTTGGGAATCCGAGGTTTGAATTGATTCGGCACGATGTCGTCGAGCCGATTTTGCTGGAGGTCGATCAGATATACCATTTGGCTTGCCCTGCTTCGCCTGTGCATTATAAGTACAATCCCATCAAGACTATCATATCCTTTTGTTTCGCGTGTTTTTTCCGCCATGAATGTGTGCTCATTGTTGATGTTATTTTCTTGCTTAATTTCACGTTTATCCGTTGATTGATATGCATTTCATGTTTCCGAAGTTCTACGCTAATGCTTACATGTTTGTGTGCTAATTATAAGTTGCTATTGTTTGAAATAGTATATGTATGTTTATCTAGGAAACAAACACAAATTTTCTTGCACTAATTACATTGGAGGTGTTTGTTTGTTTGTTTTTTTCGTTTTTTTTTTGAATTGGTTGAGACCCTTAACTTGTGATTACAAGACGAATGTGATGGGCACACTTAATATGTTGGGCCTTGCAAAGAGAATTGGTGCGAGGTTCCTTCTCACTAGCACAAGTGAGGTTTACGGCGACCCTCTCGAGCATCCACAAAAGGAGACGTATTGGGGGCACGTGAATCCAATCGGTGAGTGATAATCTTCTTGAAATGTTTTTTTGTATGTTAATGGTGGATTATGCTATCTTGATGAGGAGTTTATGATTGAATTATTTCATATAATTAGGGGTAAGGAGTTGCTACGACGAAGGGAAACGAACAGCAGAAACCTTAGCTATGGACTATCACCGTGGTGCGGGGGTTGAGGTAATATGTCTACTTAAACACTGCCCCTTGTTAGTTTCGAAGTTATGTAATTAGATAATTTGGATGTCACAGCTGAGTGGAGCTTGAGTGACTTATGTATCATTTCTTCTGCTTGCTTCGATTTTCATGATGTTCGTAAATGAAAGCCCTTAAATACAACAACTATATGAAAACTCTTCACCGATGAAATGATTTTTTTTTTTTTTGTATATTGGAGATGAGATATGAATTGTAACATGTGACAATACAGCATGTTTTGTGTTTTGGCCTCCATGATTACCAAACCAACCAACCAAACCGCCCCCCACCACCAATATTTGATTTTAGCATTTTGTTATAAAATAAGACAAGATTGCTGGTTGACTTTGTTCGGATTGGTAGGTAGCAGAACATGGATAATCATGAGTAGCTTGTTTGGAAGTCAAATCTGAAATTCCCGAAAAAACTATGTGTGAAAGAAAATTGACTTCCATCCCGAAATTCCGGCATGTACATATCTACATTTTATAGTTCCTACATTACTACTTTTTAAGGCATGAATTATATTTGTTTGAGATGTTTATTTGCTGCGCAAAGTTGCATTTTCCCTTACTTTTCTGCAAATGTATTGTTCTTGCCCAGGTGCGCATTGCACGTATTTTTAATACATACGGCCCTCGTATGTGTCTAGATGATGGGCGTGTCGTCAGCAACTTTGTTTCACAGGTTTGTCTTTCATCTTGATGACTCTTAAAACGTGCAGACTAGGACACACTTATGTTGATTAAGACAGATTCTTATCACACTAATTTTAAATGTAGGCTATACGAAAACAACCAATGACAGTCTATGGTGATGGCAAACAAACACGAAGCTTCCAATACGTGTCTGACTTGGTTTGTCATTTTTCTCATCCTTATTTTAAATGCTCTTTGATCCAATAAAATTTTCTTGATAAAATAATGTTTACACATGCAATTTTTTATTTATTTAAGGTTGATGGATTGGTGTCACTAATGGAAGGCGAGCATGTGGGCCCGTTCAACTTGGGCAATCCGGGAGAATTTACCATGTTAGATCTCGCCGAGGTTTGTTTGTCCTAAATAGAATATTTTTTCGTAGATTTCTTTATAATGTTTTGGTCCAAATAAGTTTTTTTTTTCCTACCTGGGAAATAACAGATTGTAAAAGAAACAATTGATCCAAGTGCAACGATCGAATTCAAACCAAACACTGCTGACGATCCACATAAAAGAAAACCAGATATTAGTAAAGCAAAAGAGTTTCTCAATTGGGAACCGAAGGTTTCCTTGCGAGAAGGGTTGCCTCGAATGGTCGACGATTTCCGAAACAGAATCTTGAACGAAGATGAAGGTAAAGGCAACTAATGAATACACAGAGGAAATATAGCATGTATAGAATGAGAGAAAAAAAAAAAGCATTTCAATTTTGTGAATCTTGTTCAGTTGTTCCATTTTTCGATATTACATTGGCATGTTCATTTTAAAAGTTTTTTAGGAACTCGAAATTTAGAAAATACGTAACCACGCCCGTTACAAATTTACCAATATATATATTTTTATTTTCATTTTTAAAAACTTTGTACTATTTTTTTTTCTTCGGATAATGATTATATCCACGTTAATCGAGTTTTTATTTTACCTGATGATATTGAACTTTTTTTTCTGTTAGCTTCATTTTCATGTGAATATTTAGGTTTGGATAGGAGGCTAAAAGAGACTTTTTGCTATGGTGGGGAATAATTTTTTCAATATTAATAATTTATGTGAGATAAAAGCAAAAGGAAAATGTGAAAGTAATAACAAAAAAAGGCATCTGATTCCATTGTATTTCTGGACCATTGCTTAATCTCATTCATATACACACTAAAATTTTAAGCCACTATTTTCTTTATGATAAATAAATTAATTAATAAATTAATAAATAAAAAGATAGTCCAAATTGTAAGTCCAAGAAAACAGGGGGGTTTGATCAGAAGGTGTGCAATATTTTTAACCGTTGCTTATTTTGTCTGATTTATATTTTAAATAATTCATTATATTAATCTACAGTTTGTCCCAGGCCTGTGTACTGTACTCTGTCTGTAGGACATCCCAACTATTTTTAAATTAAATGACAGTTCAAAATTAGATTATTTAATTCAATAAATATTTTTTTTTTATTACAGTGGCAGATTATTAATATTAATATTAATAATATTATTATGAGGGAACTGTGACTGAACCTTGCAGGGAATCCAATCCCACGAGTACTGTCTTTCTATTTTTATCCAAATTTAATCTGCAGAAAATGTTTCTGCTTCATCAAATATTTATATACAAAACACACACACACACACACACACACACACACACACACACACACACACACACAAAAATTCACTTGAAATATCAACACCAAGAATCTGATTCCCAAAACCATTATTACTCCCATTCTTGATTATTATTCCACACACACACACACACACACACACACACACACACACATTAGAAAAAAGATGAAAGGAATAGATATATTCTGTGCATCACAATCAACAACATCCATTTGCCTTAGCATGGCTTCATCTTCCTACTCCACTCCGGCCGCCGCCGCCGGCAGCAGCAGCCCCGCCATCGACCGACACAACCCGATAATCACCGACTCCAGAAGATCATCAACTTACTCCATACAAGCCATCCCTCCACCTCACCAAAAGAAGAAGAAAAGGAATAAAAAAATCCCTTTGAAGGAAAATGTTGATCACTCCAATCACAAGAAAAATATCGATATTACCGACGGTGGCGGTGACGGTGAGAGTATCAAAATCACTACTACTACTACTACTACTGCTACTGGAAGGAAGAGCTTCCTATGTACCAAGCCAGGTGATTTTATCACCCCTTCACCTGGCTCTTCTACTAGGTTCTTGTTGAGTACCGATCAAAACCTCGTCCTCAACGACTCCGATTTCGTTCCGTCGCTCAAATCGGAAACTCCCATTGCTAATTATACGAAACCACCCTCCTTTTCATCTGCTTCTTCTACTGATCATGATCAGGTTCTTGTGTTTCTCTTGCTAATTAAATATTCTTTTTTGTATTAATAATTATTTAATTGGAATTTCTTTTGTTTTTTTTTTGTTTTTTTTATAATTATTTTGCAGGTGGTTGTACTAAGAGTGTCTTTGCACTGCAGAGGATGTGAAAGGAAAATGAGAAAGCATATTTCAAGAATGGAAGGTCTCTTTTATATTTCTCAACAAATAATAACCTATGTGTATATATATATATATAGTTTTAAATTACTAAATTACCCTTGGTACTACTACTATTTGTTTGTGCAGGAGTGAAATCTTTCAACATAGACTTTGCAGCAAAGAAGGTGACTGTCACCGGAAAAGTAACTCCGGTGGAGGTGCTCTCGAGTATATCGAAGGTCAAGAATGCCCAACTTTGGCCTCCCACAATTTCTTCAGCCACTCCACCACCGCCGCCGCCGCCTCCTCCACCGCCGCTCAATCGGAGTAACTCAATAGAATTCGAGAATAAAGGAGATGGTGCATATCATGTTACAGATAAACGGTTCTTGTTTTAATTAAGAAATAAAAAAGTGTGTGGTGTAATTTCATTTCAGTGCTGCGAGAATTTGGATCGAGTGTATTAATTTTATATTAGATTTGGTTTTGAAGTTAAAGTTTGATAAATAGATTGCTTATGCATATGTTGTAGGTGGTATAATATTGAAAGTTCATGTGTGGCACCCTCGTGTTCTTTTTTCTTTTTTTCATTAAGTTTGTATTTACCAAAAAAAAAAAAAAAGATAGGGGCGGTAAACGAGAATTCACGAACTCTAGCTTTCTTTTAGTTGTTCAAGAATTCACGAGCCGGCTCGCGAGCCTTTCTATTATTTTTTTTTAGTTTTGATATATTATTTAAATAATATAAATGTTGTAATAATAATGAAATAAAAAGAACATATAAAAATTAAAAGTTATATATGATTACAGTTTCATTATTCTTTTGTAATTTTTCTGTTATAATATAAATAATTTTTAATTAAAAAAAAATCAAAATAACGAAAAAGATAAAAACATGAAATCCGACCTGCCGGATTCGAACCAGCGACCTAAGGATATCTATCAGGAATTTCCCACTACAGTCCTCCGCTCTACCAACTGAGCTAAGGTCGGTTTCGTGACATCGCTTCTTCAATAAATGAATATAAACCATTTACCACGAGAAGATTAATAATTGACAATGATAAAGAACACGTCACACTATATATAATTCATAGCAAGTAAAATATTTTATATATTCGTTTCATTATTTAAATGTTTTTTTTTATTAAATGAAATATTAATAAAGTGTTTATTTAAAATGTAGAAAGGTAAATAGTTATGGTAAAAAGGTAAAAAACCATGGTAAAAAAGTGCCTGAATGTTTAATTTGGCCTGCTTATATCACTACCCAATTTCAAATGTTTTAAATAATATTTATAAATACAAATTTTGTGTGTGTTAATTTGAATTTGAAAAGAAACATCGATTTTTAACTAATAACAGAGAACCCGATTATTATGCCAATGTGCATTTAAAGTTTTGCATGCAATTTATCCGTAAATATTGAAGCTTGGTCAGTGTATAGATGATTGATCCTATTTTTTCTCAAATAGAATTACTAAAATATCCTTGGCAATTATTGTTTGTGTGGTAAATGGTAAAACTGAAAATAATGCAATTAATGCTTCATCTAGAATCTAAAAATACAAATAATATGGAACAAATAAAATTCTTAAAAAAAAAACAAATAATATGGGACAAATGGAGTACAATACTCAGGCGTCTCACTAATTTCCTTAATTTTTAATTAATATTACAATTAATAAACATATGTAATATTTCAAAAGAATATCGAATGTGAAATAGTATTATTAGTAGTTAGTACCAAAGATCTATATTGCAATAATAATAATAATAATAATAATAATTATAATAATAATAATAATAATAATAATAATAATAATTATTGTAATTAAATAAAAATAAAATTATGGAATATATCCAAAATTATGCCACGTTAATCTTCAAAAAAAAAACCCCTAAGATAGGGTGTGCGTTGCGATTTATAGTAAACAAACCCAATTTTTTTCTCAAAATCTGTTAAATTTTATAATTTTAAACCAGCAAATTAATCATTAATTAAATCATTAATTTTCTCCATCTCCCACAACAAGTATGAACAACAATGGAGGCAACGACGAAGCCCTCAACCTCTCCCTCTCCACAGCAACTCCACCACCATGGTCAACAACTATCCGTATCTCCACGCGCCACCACCGCCGCCGCATCCGCCCAAACCAAACTGCCGGAGCAGGAGCAGGAGCCATCCCGCCGCCGTATCCATGGGCCACGTCGCGACGCGCCGCCGTGCACGACCTCCGCCACCTGCAGGCGAGCGGGATAAGCAGGATCGCCGGAGACGTGCAGTGCAAGAGGTGCGAGAGAACGTACGAGGTGGAGTTCGACCTGCATGAAAAGTTCAGGGCGGTGGCGAGTTACGTGGTGAGGAACAGGGAGGAGATGAGGCAGCGGGCCCCGGCGGCGTGGATGAACCCGACCCTACCCGACTGCAGATACTGCGGGCAGGGTAACTGCGTGAAGCCCGTGTTGACGACGAAGAAGAAGTCGATTAACTGGCTGTTCTTGTTCCTGGGTGAGTTGATTGGGTGCTGCAAACTCGCTGAGTTGAAGTATTTCTGTAAGCATACTAAGAATCATAGAACTGGAGCTAAAGATAGGGTTTTGTATCTCACTTATTTGGAGATTTGTAGGCAGCTTGATCCTATTGGCCCTTATCATCCTTGATTTTATTATTATTATTATTATTATTATTATTATTATTATTATTTTTTTTTTTTTTTTTTTTGAGTTTGTTGAATTTTGATGATTGTTTTATATTGTTTTGTTGAATCCATTTATTGATTGATTGCATTTGCTTTGTTTTTTATGAGGATTGTTTTTATGTTGTTTTATTACTACATTTAATTCTCTATAAATTAACAAAGTGATAACTAGCAGAATTCTATTAATTTAGTGAAATATTAAATTATTGGACTAATAATTTAGTATGTTTTTAACGAGTCGGGATCAGAATAAATTATTATTTAAGCGAGAATATTAATTTATCGAGGTTCTAGCTACTATAGTATCTTAAACAAAATTGAATTTTTTTTATTTGTATTATCTCTCAATTTAAATTTCCACCATTTAATTACTAAATTTCCAGTTTATACCATGGTTAACCCTTTTCAGCATTTTTTTTAGGGGTTATTTTACATAACCCCCTAGCCACCAAATAAATTAGGGATAAACTCAAGCCCAAATCATCATTTGACATACCCCCTAGGGAAGCGAAAGTACTATACTACCCTTATGTGCAATTTTCGGCCAAACTGCATTCAGCATTTATGGTCCTGCATTTATCATTTTCGCTGATTTATTTATTATTATTATTATTATTATTATTATTATTAATTTTTTTTTTTTCAAATATGTTTGTTAAATATATATATATATATATATATATATATATTTTTTTTTTTAATTTTTTTTTTTTTAATTTTTTAATTTTTTTTTTAATTTTCAAAACAATATGTTTACAGTACTGAAAATAACTACATGTAACTATAGTACCTATAGTAATTCATAGTTATGTTCGTTTTTTCCCCATATTTTTAGTCGATCAATTGTATACACACACGAATACTGACTTATACAAAATAAATTCATAAAACCCCAACAAAAATTTACAAATTTAAATATTTTATTACAAATCACATCAGAACCAATAAAATACAAATAGAAAATACATAAATATACGCATATGTAACTACATGTAACTACATGTTACTATAGTAATGTATAGTAATGTATACAGTCTGTTGAACAGATCTGATGTAACTTAAAAAAACAAAAATTTGACACCTTCAAGGAAAGGATCAATGACCTTCATTAAGCTGCAATTGCAAAATCAAAACAAAAAGAAATTACTTTAGTGCAAATCAACAAATTTGAATAAAAACATCAAAACACTCAAAAATCACCAAACATTAAGAGATCGAGAGATAGAGAGAGAGGTTATTGCTGGGAAATGCAAAAAAATATAGAAATAAATCTGAAAAGATAAAAATAAACGAAATTACCATCAAAATATATATCCCGACGAGAGGAATCCAACGGTGGATGACCCGTCAAATTTCGACGGGTGGAACACAAAATAAAGCTCCGGCAAGGCCACCGTCCTCGAATGAAAAAAAATTGCAGAAACAGATCCGCGTTCGAAACTGAATGAAATCACCACCAAAAGAAAGAGCTTGACGAGAGGAATCCAACGGTAGTTAAACCATCGAATTCCGACCACCAGAGAGAGAGTTATGGCTCCGCGAAGCAATTTCGCCGGTGAGAGGTTTGTAGAGGCGGAATTTTGAATTTGGGAGAAGAAGAGAGAGACCGTGAGTGGCTAGGGTTAAAACTGATTTTAGAAGGGTATTATAGGAACTTTAGGGTAGCCCAGGGAGGTATGTCAAAATATTTTCGAAATAAGGGGGGTTTCACCTAGAGTGTAATCCACTAGGTAGTTAATTCGTTCTATACAATTTGGAAATGAGGGGTCTACAAAATAATCCCTTTTTTTTAACTATAAACTAAAAAAAGGAAAAAAAAAAAAAAAAAAAAGGGAGGGTTTTTTTTTTTTTTTTTTAAAAAATTGTTGGCTAAAATTAAGGGAGATAGATAACAACCTAATTAGGCAATTTCAAATTAATTCCTTAATAATAGTAATAATAAATAGAGTATTATATACTCCCTCTGTTCCATAATATCTGTCTCTTTTGAGAATTTTTTTTGTTCCATATTATCTGTCACTTTACAATTCCAATGCTGCATTAATTGCTTATTTTTCAATTTTACCCTTCTTAACTCTATAGCACTATTTTTGCATTAATTAATAAACAAGGGTATTTTGGTCCATCAATATCTATTTTCCTAAATTCAAGAAATATTTATAGAGATTCTTAAGATTTGTGCCTAGGTGAAAAACGACACCTATTTCGGAACGGAGGGAGTAGTATATAATATATATCACACTTTCCAAAAGATAATGGATTTACTACTATATTAGCAATCCGTTTTAATTAATTCCCTAATAATAATAATTTCAAATAATATATTATATATATCACATTTTCCAAAAATAATAAATTATAGAAAAAATATGCTAACAGAAACGAATCACAAATAAAAAAAAGCAATATATTTAATATATAACACAATAAACCTACTAAAATAAACCTATATGATTTTTCAAATCAAATCAAATTAAATCAACACAATTTTAATTATTATCTCTCAAACTTTACTCATTTTAATTCAATACTCCCCACCTCATATCTTATATAAAGCAAACAAAACATAATTGAATTATCAAACAATTATAATATACATTTTAATTATATTTTTTTGGAAATTAAAAGATGAAGATAATTCAAATTATGGTGTGTGCAATTGTTTTACAAGCAATTGTTGTTTTAGGGCTTCCGAAAGAAGAAATCACCACCGTCAAAAAAATGATAATCGGACGGCTGCCGAAAGGAATCTTCCACCCCCCATCTGGTCCGTCCCGGGACCCCCCTGAAGTTCCACCACCGCCGCCGCCATATTACAGCCGTCAGATTTCCGCCGATCTGAATAAGATGATAATCGGACGGCTGCCGAAAGGAATCTTCCATCCCCCATCTGGTCCGTCCGAGTACCCCAACGTTCCACCGCCGCCGGAGACATATTACAGCCGTCGGATTTCCGCCGATCTGAATAAGATGGTAATCGGACGGCTGCCGAAAGGAATCTTCCACCCCCCATCTGGTCCGTCTCAGTACCCCCCCGACGTTCCACCGCCGCCGCCGCCATATTAAAGCCGTCGGATTTCCCCCAACCTTCCGGCGGCTGAGAGGAGAGCTCGTTAAGTTTCCGCCGCCGCCGCCGCGTTCGGTGACGGATCTAAATATATATAAGTATAACTTCCCCGCAACCCGTTTGTTGTGTTTGTAATCAAATTAAATAATGGAAAGTTTTAATTATAATAAAAGTCATTATTTTATTTATGATGGTAGTTAATCAGCCATTGTACTTTATTTAATCGCTCAAATTACAACATAATTAGATAATGAAAAGTAAGAGTTTGATGGCATCTCCCATGCATAAGTAATGTGAATGAACGTCGAAAATAATAATTAAAATGTTAAAGTAAGGGTAAATTACAACCACCTCCCTGAGGTGTGGTCAATTTACCAAAAAACCTCTATTGTTTGGATAATTATATCTACTCCCTTAACTATAATATTTTTTGTTACACATCTACCCTTATGGAGTCAAATTCAACATGATCATCTAGATTTCGAGAAATGTGCTCCAGTTTTTACTTGTTTTGTGTAAAAAATAAAGTTTCTGATGCACCACAATCTATTTTATACAAGCCAAAAAACACATATTATGATCATCTTATTATTTCAAAATGTAGAGTTCCAATGGGATAAAACGAGTACAAAACTGATAATAATCCATATGATCTCGAAGATTTCACTATATATATATATAATTAAATACAAATGAGTAAAGTTAAATACATGATAAATAATTGGACTGGGATTTGTTTTAAAAATAATTAAATAAAAATGATCTGCATTTACTAAAGATCGTCGTGTATTTACCATTTTAGATATATTAATGGTCCACGAATAATTTTTTAATGTTTTTTCTTGTAAAAAAATCAAATTGTGCTGATAAGGATAAAAAGTTATTTTATTTGAGTAATACCAATCAAGTGTACTAAATTAAAGACCAAAAGATTTGAATGTTGGTCAAAAGAAACCCTTAAAAAAATTGTCTCAATCTTCAATGGTTTACACGAAATCATATCAAACTTTATGATGGATTTTCAAAATAATAATAATTGGAAATAAATTATGCTCTAAATCTTTGAATAGATTGTATTAATCTTAAATTTCCTAAAAATTCAAAAAAAAAAAAAAAAAACGCACCAATCTGATAAAGTGAATCAACTTATATTATAATTATATTCCCACTTATATAAGTAGGGGCGCCTCAACATTAGAGGATTCGGAAAGAATATAAAATTTTAATTATTTTATTTTCTAGAAGATATGAAGATAACTCAAATTCTGTTTTGTGCAATTCTCTTACAAGCGATTCTGGTTTTGGTGATTGGGAACAAAGAAATCATCACAACCGCCGAAGAGAAGGCGATGATAATCGGACGGCTGCCGAGAGGAGTCCCGATTCCCCCATCTGGTCCATCGAGAGATGAACCCTACATTCCACCGGTTCATCGCGTCCGTCCAATTTCGACCAATCAGAGGAAGATGATAATCGGACGGCTCCCGAGAGGAGTTCCGATTCCCCCGTCGGGTCCGGCCCCTTATGATCCCAACCATCCGGCGGCCAAGAGAAGAGCTCGTTAACTTTAATCCGTTTGTGTATTTATTCATGCAATCGAATACGAGTTTTATTAATATAATAAATTTATAATTTTAAGATGATAACCAATCTTTGCTATATACTCCCTCTGTTCTATAATATTTCTCTCTTTTGAGAATTTATTTTGTTCCATATTATCTATCACTTTACAATTCCAATGCTGCATTAATTGCTCACTTTTCAATTTTACTCTCATTAACTCTATAGCACTCTTCATACATTAATTAATAAATAAGGGTATTTTGGTCCATTAATATTTATTTTTCTATAATCAAGACATATTTATTGAGATTCTTAAGATTTGCACCAAGGTGAAAAACGACACCTATTTAGGAACAGAAGGAGAGTATATATCATCTGTAAATGACTGCCAGACACCTATTTAGGAACAGAGGGAGAGTATATATCATCTGTGAATAACTGCCGGTTCAGGAAAAGTTAATGTTCCACCTAGTCAGGAAACAGATATACATAACATACAAATGAGTGTGTACTAACACCTAATTTTGCCGGTTCATGTATTATATTATAAAAATAAATGTGCATGTATACGAATTGATTATATATTATTAAATACATAACATTTTTCAAAAAAAGAATATTTAATGAGCACGTTTTGATTCTGACGTTATAATGTTATATATGGATCAGATCAAAATTCTAGATTCCTGTAATCAGATTACTGTAATCTCAATCAATGCCCAACCATATGTTCTGTGTATATATATACAACAACTATGGTGTGGAGATTAATTACAAAAAATCATACCAGCAATTCGATTTTCTTCGGAAAATAGAAAAACATGAAAAACTCGAAGATTTTTCTGATCACGCTGATTTTAGCCCTAATTTTGGGATTTGGCTCTTACGATTCGAATGCCAGATCTCTGGGGATGAAGAAAGAGGAGGCGCAAAGCGCCGGGAAATCATCTCTACAGGGGGAGAAACGCAGCGGACCGTCGACACCGAAAGAGCCGCCGCGCAGCGTAGATTGGGAGAAGCGGAGCGGACCGTCGACACCGAAAGAGCCGCCGAGCAGTGTAGATTGGGGGAAGCGGAGCGGACCGTCGACACCTAAGGAACCGCCGAGCAGTGTAGAATGGGAGAAGCGGAGTGGACCGTCGACACCGAAAGAGCCGCCGAGCAGTGTAGATTGGGAGAAGCGGAGCGGACCGTCGACACCTAAGGAACCGCCGAGCAGTGTAGAATGGGAGAAGCGTAGTGGACCGTCGACACCGAAAGAGCCGCCGAGCAGCGTAGATTGGGAGAAGCGGAGCGGACCGTCGACACCTAAGGAACCGCCGAGCAGTGTAGAATGGGAGAAGCGTAGTGGACCGTCGATCCCGAAAGAACCGCCGCACAGCGTTAAAAGGGAGGCTCTTCCGCCACCTCCGCCGCCGATTCCAAGTTTATAAGGTGGCGGCCGCTCTTGTGTCTTGGCTTTCATGCAGTCAATTTGAATATAAGGGGACTGCTTGCTATTTATCAAATAATTAGCTGAATAAATGAAAGTCGATTTTTTTTTTTCCTGTGTCGATTTACTAAATTAAACTTTTTTTTATTCATCGTCGCCTAAATTGTCAATTTTAGACCAAAATTGAACGGAATCCAAATCAATTCAAGGTAAATAGAGTTGGGGTAAATTAGTCTTTTCCTCCCACACCACTTTGATCCTGCTTCTTTTCAAAATGGGTGTAGGTGGAAAAGACTAATATACCCCCACTCTTATTCACCTAGAATGCACGTGATTTGAATTCCGTCCAATTTTGGCCAAACATGGACAATTTCAACGCTGGTGCAAGTATGCCCGTACAACTTTTTTTTTTTCGTTCAAAAGGTAAAATACTAAAACGTCAAAAGTTTAAAGATTTCAATAGAAGATGCAAAAATCCATTTCAGCAACATCTACAACATTTTGGAAACTAAAGAAAATATTACTACAACTCACAATGCATAAGCACAATAATTGGCTCACAACATTTGATTCAACTCAATATATTTATTACCATTCTTTACGTAACCAACATTTTTCTTTCTCATCTCCCTATCTTACCACCTAATTACCTCTACACCCCTTCAATTAAAAGTTACCTATTTAAAAAAATAAAAATCAGTTACACAGAACCTCAATTATCATATCATCTATCAACAGCTTCTCGATTTCGCTACCAATTATATCAATCTCGCCTTTAAAACCCGACCACTGCATATCCCGGTCGAGTTCTCTATCCAATCTCTCCAGGCTGGCGAAGTCTTGATTGATCAACTTCTCAATAGCATCTCTAATCCCTTCATTCTGCAATTTACAATTCTGCCCTGCTAATTTCGGCATCACCCACGGGCATAAGTCAACGTGCTCTTCGAAAATCTCCACCAGTGCTGAATTTACTTTGTCGAACAGCAATCTCCTTTCGGAACTCGAGTTTTCGTCGCTGTATTTTTTCTCGAGTTTGTTGAACAATTTCGGGTCCAAAGGGCAATCTCGTGAATACCACGATGTTTCGAATATATTGAAGTCAGATTCTTCGATACCAGAATCGATTAGCACATCAAGAACGTAGGAGATTTCCCAGCCTTGGTCTCCTAATTCGTACTTTTCTTCGGAAAAATTTGGAGATGGCTGTGTGACTTCTTCCTCAATTGGAACAAGTGTGAACGCCTCAGCACATGCACCCTTCTCCATCTTGAGCAGCTGGAGTTGCATCCTGAGTTCTAAACAAAAAACAATAATAATAATAATAATAATAATATAAAATAAAATAATTATGTCTTATATCATCATGCATGGACCAAAATTTTCATTTTGAATCGTATTACATGAAGTCGACTGAAAAGAGTCACAGTTTCTTACCATGAAGTTCAGCACCGACTCTCTCAAAACTTTCGGAGGATGATGTTTCTTCTGTAAACGGGACCTCAAGAACTGAGATTGGACTAGGATAATCCGGTTCAGCTCCAAGGCAATGCAAGGAAGAAGAGTCTTGTTTGGGCGGTCCATTGTGCAATGCCTGAAATATCACATATAAACGAAGTGCTTGTTATACATAAAAGTTAAAGGAGTTCAGTTAGTATTGCACCCTGCATCTTGAAAAAATAAAAGTAGCCCAACTAACATATGAACCGACGATAATAATAAGTAATAACTCCATAAACAATATCGGAAAAGGATACTTTGATTGCACACGTTTTCCACCTCCCTCCCAGAACCAATCCTCTTTAAAGAATGACAACATAGTATTTTAGAATAGTCAAATATATATTGGACTACTAGAACCAATGATGAATGTATACCACAGGATTGAAATGATAATTTGACTTGTGGAAAAATTATTGTGAAGTATGAAGAGCCATCTTTTTTCGTAAATTGTTATGACTTCCAGGTTATTAGTGCATAACAGGAAACAAATAAAGAAGGAATGACTGTGAAATGGCTAAACAGATATCTGGTAATTAAGTAATACAATGGTGTACTCAAGTAGCAACAATCAGCACCATTTAAAGCAACACCTCTACATACGTTTATTCAATGCATGGCAATTTACCGAAAGTTGAAGGAGAGGATAAACCCTTCCCAGCATAACTAAAGTGAAGAAAAATAATAGGTATATTGAAGGGTGCAGTAAAAAAAATACTCTTGCTCAAGGGAAGTGACGATCAATACCTGCAGGCTGGAATCCTCTTCATTATGAAGAGTAGAGTTGTGGCCGGGGTATTCCGAAGGCAGGGTTGAGTTCCCAGATCCAGAAACCATCATTACATCAACTGGAGGACTTCTGCAAGTGTCGGACTTTGCATTCATCTGAAATACTGAATGCTCTTCAGATAAGTCTTTACTGTTGGCCTCCATTTGAATCTCAAAGTTGGCTTCTGATGAAGAGTCTATCTCATTAAGAAATTCGTACCGACAAGGACGAAGTTTCTTGCTCCTGGACTTGGAATCTTTAGAAGAACTATCTTCGTTATGACATGGATTTCCCTTTAGAACCTTACTTCTACCATTACGTTCAGAACCACTACGCCTCAGCTTCTTATCTTCTGCCACCTCATCATGGTAAGTGATTCTATGAGTTCTCCCCCTTCCACCTGTGTACGGAGGAAGCGATCTCGAACGAGATGGATTTCTGCTTATTTCATCTTTCCAACCATCTCTACTACTTATGCCTAGAGGAAAATCCCCAGTAGCAGTTCCATTATTACCAGGACTTGTCTTAACATTCAAACGGTTAGGCCTTGTTTCCCTATCAGGAAAGGCAAGCATTTCGCCTAATGTGCTGCCCTTGCTAATCATTTCCAAATCTTGATACTTGTGAGACATCTTCCACCTCTCAGATAATCGCTTCTTTGCTTCTCTATTTACAGACGTTTCGAACAAACTCGGAGATGGATACCTGCACAAGTTACTACCATCGAAGGACTTTCTACAAGATTTAAACACCTCCGACTCATTGCCTGAATCACTTTCGTTTGGGTCATACGAACTCTCGTCACCAATGTATCCTCTGAACCCGGAAGACTTTGCATCCATAGTCTCGTCAGAGCCATCTCTCATTCTCGTTGTAATTTCCTTTGCTATTTCTCTAGCTTCTTTAGACATGGACTTTGATAATCCCATTTTATGAGAGGAGTCCTTCCTCCTTCGCGACTCTGTTTCATTACCTCCAACACTTTGAAATTCCTTTATCTTCTTCAAGCTGGGATGATAGCCACTTGAGAAATCCGGTGATGAATTAGATGTGGCAGCTTTCTGCGTCTTCCCTAGGTTTGGCTTCAGAACAACAATCCTTGTAGGAAGAATGTTTTCACCCTTCTCCGCGTCTAATTGAGTTGAATTGCGAGAAGTATGACCTCTCCGTCGACTGTGTGGTTCAAGTAAAAGACCATCTTGACGTTTCACATGAGAAGTGGCATGGTGTTTACTTGAAGTATTTTTTTCGGATCCAAATACTTTGGCTTTGTTTTCGTACTTCTCGGAATTGGATGGCTTTAGGACTGCTATATGACTGCCAAGGGAATTCCCATGATCAACTTGTCCATCATGCAAATGCTTCATAAACAAGGAATTCGGTTGCCAGAGAAATCTCAGCAGTAAGTCCTTGTTGGAGTCAAGCATCTCTAAGGTGTCATCCAGCTCTTTAGAGTCCTGAAGCTTTTCATCGGTCGAAAGACGTTTTGCATCAAGAAACTTCTGCTGAATGAGTGCCATCTCTGGTTTTGTAAGAATCGAGCTGGCACTCCATCTCGAAGAACAACGACGATTCGCAACATGCGAAGCCTCCAAATCCTCATAAACATCCTTAAATTCTTGCTGCTCAGTTGACCGTCTTCTATTTGATCGGCCTTCGTGTGGTTGGCTATTTCTTTGGATATTTGATGAAACATTTCTCTGTGGGAGACTTTCTGAAAACCTTTTCGGTTGTCTGTGAACATGCCGAGGGGATGGCAGCCCTTCGAGACCCATTAATCTGGCAATGACACTTGGTGTCCGTCTCTTCGACTCAACTTCTTTTGACATTTCTTCTGCCAGTAACTTTTTCATTGGTTTACCAGCAACTCCTCCTAAGGGGCTGTTCCCCAACTCATGCATAAACTGTGGAGGCCAAATAGAAAACTGTTAAATCATAAAGCCACTCTATCGTTTGAGAAACTCATTTAATAAAGAAAACAAATTACAAATGCAAATTCAATAAAAAAGTAAATAACACAAACCATGTCATCCCTATTGCTTCCATCGATATAAGAACGAGCATGCGAAGACAAACTTAAAACAGCTTTCTGTTTCTGATGTCGAATTCCTGGATAAAAGTTCCAAGAGAACAATCTTAATCTTATGCGATAAGCATCAATTGAAATACTTAAAAAAATTACAGGAAAACGCAGCAAATCATGCAAATCAAAGATAAAATATAATCAGGTTTTGTATATAAAGGACTAGGCCCAGCAATTATAACCCATCATGAGTAGAAAATCCAAAAGAGCTGAAACCACTATAGAAAAGTTTCTTTCATATAGAAAAGTTTCTTTCATGCCACTTGCCAACAAAACAACGCATGAAGACTGCTAATGATCAAATCAGCCTCTGTTAAGGACTTTGCGCCTCACAGAAGCAAGAAAGAGCAAACATATGGAGAAAGATTCCCTTCCGCCACTTAAACGACTGAGTAACTTTTTTTCTTTTTTCAAAAAACACCATCATTATTAGAGTTTTGTGCAAGGGGACCAAAAGAATAAATTGTTTGGAATTTCTGTATAGACGCAAAGAGAGTCAAAACCACAGTAATTGCTTATTGTTTTAGCTTCAAAAGCCATCAATCACGGCGCAGTAGCCTTAAATTTCAAATCAAAGCATCTAATGTAAAAATTCACCGTGCAAAGTGCAAACTATAGTTATCGTTGAGGTGTAGTTTTTCTGCCTAAGAAATTAAAGAAGAAGCTCAACTTCTATCCAAAAATTAAAATCTCCAAAAAATAAACACACTAATCTGAACATTAACAAGCAATTGCAGACTTAGATACAGTATTTACTCTTCAGAGAAACCAAAAACGTGGTTAGATAAAGGTTCTGCAGCGAGATGACTGTTCGTACCCGAAGGATCAAACGAGACGAGAGATTACGAAAAATTACCTTCAATACCAGAAGCGCTTTTCGATTTCCTGTGTCGAGCTCTCTCCATTGTTTGTTTTTTTTTTCGAAAATTCAAATTATGCAGACGGCAACAAGAGCAAAAGGATAAAAAGATAAAAAGGAAGAAGAATATTATATTTTCAAAAACCGAGACACAAAAGAAAAGCGAGGCTAAATCTGATCGGAATTATCGGAAAAAGGCACGACACCACCTCGAATACCGTCGCCATTTTTAACCTAGCGCAGCATCTTCAGCTCATTTTCAAACACCTACAGTTCCAACAAAAAAATTCAAAAAAAAAAATCTCCGTCAGTAGTAGATCTTCCACCACATTCTAGAGAGAGAAAATTGAGGAAAAACTCCACGCCAACACACACACACAATGTAACAGAAAAGGAGAAAGAAAAAAATATATACGTTGTTGGAAATTACAGAGCGCATTCTAGAGAGAGAAAGAGTGTGGGCCTCTCTCTTCACACACAGTAGTGCCAGAGAGAGAGAGAAGGAGAAAAACCAAAAGTACTGCATCGATACGTACACATATAGTTTTAGAGAGAGAAATCACGGAGAACAAGTGAGATAGAGAGAGTGTGAGAGAGGCAGGCAGGCGGGCATTAATGACGGCAGTGTGTGTTGTGTGTGTGTGTATGAAAAGTGTAAATTTTTGAATTGGGAAATTTTGAAATTATATAGTAGACTGGTAGATTAGAGTTTAGATAGGTTGACACGAAGGGGTATATATATAGACTGTGCTATCTGCACTGTGAGAGTGGGGGAGTGAATAGTGGGGACCAATCCGACAAGTGGACCAATAACGACGTGCCACGTAGTTATTATTTTTGCGACGTGATTAAATTGCGATGTGGAAAGTTTGGGGGTATTTAAGGAAATTCGCAATTGAGAAATTAATATAACGACTTCAATTAATTCACCAAACGACATTAGAGAAACCAAATTCAAATAAAAATTAAATGTTTGGTATAAAAATTTGGAGCTTTAACATGAAATAATTGATAACATCACCTAATATCATAAATGGCACCGAGTTTGTAATAATTACTAGGGCAAATTACTGCAACCCTGCGGTATGTTTAAATTACGAAAAAATCATTCATGTTTTAGGTAATTATAACCACATTCCTCAACTATTTTTTTTGTTACACGTCCACCCTTACAGTGTTTATTTTACCTCTTGACGGAGGATTTTTTCGTAAAACAATGCATAGTTGAGATTGTGGATGCAACTATCCAAACATGAGAATTTTTGTATATTTGTGTTTATCTCGGGGGTGGCCGTAAATTGACCTAATTATTATATTCTTTCGTTCTTTTATTTCAAAAAGAAACCGAATGCCTTCAATCTGTAGAAAAAAGTTATGTAAAGCGCCCAGCAAGGGACGACCTATGTTCGAATCGAATCGCTTGTTAACAGTCGATTAAATCTAGTTTGTCAGACATGATTAGCCTAGAGTTGTTTACGTCTCTCATAGTTTAACAATTATTATACGATAGTGTAAATTTACTCAATACAATATTCATCGTTTCTTGTGAATGATGATAGATTTATAAAATTTTGGCAGTATTACAAAAGTAGCACTACAAAAGAAAGCTGTTTGTGTATTATTTTTCAAGAATCAAAGCCAGGATTTGGGGTGGTGAAATTATAGAATAGATTTTTTTTTTTCTGAATGGACCCAAAAAAGTTGACTGAATAAATGACAAAATAAGGTGACTTTATTTATTCCTGGTGTATGATTTAAAGTAGACAATTGTTTTCCGACTATAGTATTTTTTTTTTTTTTTAATTTGTTTCATTTAATCGTATTGTGAACAATAGAAATAGTTAATTAACTTTAAATTAATAATAATAATCTCTCTTAGTTAAATACGATCTTCTTTTCCCACGTGGGAAAGTAGGAAAACTAAAAAAATGTGTACGATTGAATGATTATGTGTGGCCATGCAGTGATATACCAACATGATCATATTTTGTTTTTGTGCCTTCAATTCAACATAATATGGACAAATTTGATTGAATGGGTCCTGTCACGTTTACAATTATTTTATAAAATGTATTTTTATATATATATATATTTACATAAATGCATAAGGAATAACACTCTCGTAAATTGAATTTTTTTAAATAAAAATATTAAATGTCCTAATACCTCTTAAAAACAAATTAGTGCGCAAGTGACAAAATTTTCTTGAATTAGAAGTTTTAATACCTCTTAAAAAGGCCTAATGCTACGAAAATTATGTGGCATATAGCCTAATTGATAACACAAAATAGTCAATTAATGATAATGTAAAATATTAAGACCAAGATTAAACAATTTTGTTTGTTAAAAAAATGATAGATCCATTTAACTGAAGTAATTTGACTAAAAGGGGCATCATAGTTAGAAAAAAAAAGGTTTAAAGTTAATTATCCTAATTAAAGTAATAAAGTAGGTAGGTCGTAAACCAACCGCATAGATTACTTTTACAATGGCCATGATTAAGGTGGGTAACTCCACTTAAGTTGTTCTACAATTGTCAATGAAGTACTAATTGGTGGGCACAGGAAAAAAATTGAAGTCAATAAATTCGAACTTGAGTCAATTGACATTAACTCAATTGCTAGGGGTGAGCAAAGAAACTGAAAAACCGAAAAACCGAATCGAAAAACCGAGCCGTTTTAAACCGTACCGAATAGCAAACCGCATGAACGGTTTTTTTATTTTTGAAATACCGAATTATTCGGTTCGGTATGGTGGGAAGGTAAATAACCGAACCGAACCGAAACTATAAAATGACTTCATTTTATATAATATATGTATTATTTTACCCTAATATTTATTTTCTATCTTTCAATTACTTGTCTCATTCTAAGCGCATTTGTTCATAAATTAAGACGTTGTATTTTATTTATTTAGTAAGTAAAAATTTACTTGAGTTCATGGTTTTAATAATGTGGTAGATGAAAGTAGGAAAAAAAATGAAGCATAATACATCATCTAAATTATATTAAGTCCTATGAAATTAAAGATTTTATATTTTCATTGCATTAGTAAGTTTTGAAAGTAATTGTAATTGTATTTGTACAACTTGAATATATAGTGACACTTGAACCGAAAAATAACCGAAACCGAAACCGAAAGAAACCGAACCGATAAAAACCCGACATACACGGTTTTTAATTTTACAAAAACCGATATATTCGATTCGGTTCGGTTTTTGGCTAAAACCGAACCGAACCGACCCGTGCACACCCCTATCAATTGCCACAACTGTTATGTCATTGCTCGTAGGACATTTACGAAACACTTTATTTATAACTTATAAGGTCGATATGAAACGAATAGTATAGAATAATTCGAAAATAACCAAGACTAAATTCGGAAAATTGTGTTGCTATTTTTTTGATTTGGGTTATGGGTGTTACACAAGTATAGTTATTATTATGTCCAAAATTTTGTTGGTTTCTAGTTTCATCTCTATAGATAGAACATATATATAATAATAAAATCAAGTAAGATATTCGATTACTTTACACTCTTTATTTATTTTATTAACTTATTGGTATGGGGAAAACGAAAGCGACGCTATTACATAACATTAGATAGTTCACCATGCCCAAGATTGTCTGAAATCGGATTTGTCACATATGTACAAATAGATATTTATTTTCTTTTGGCTGAGCACAAAAAGGTTGAATTTCCAAGTTTAATAATGCTTTAAATTATTATTAAGTATAGTGTGTACGTTGTTGGCAAAATTAAAAGCTATAGGCCTGCCCTATACTATGCTGCGCCTGTAGCCACCTCACCCCACTAAAATCAGCCGAAATTTCAGTTCACACATGTACATTATCAGTTATCTAGTAGCCCTAGCTATCATTCAACACTCTCTCCAGGAATATTTTAAGTCTCTAGTAACCTAGAAATAGAGAACCAATCGAATCCAAATCAAAAGTTTTGAAACCCAAAAAAAAAAGAAAAAAAATCATATTATATTTATAAAAGTTTTGAAGATTTTGGAATCTAAATCGAAAGAAATTTGAAAATTGTATTTTATATATAATATAAAATAGATAACAAAGACCAATATTATAAGTGTTATTTTCGGAGAGAATAAAATTTTTTGAAGTTTTTCAACTTATTTTCAGAACATAAATCCAAGCCTTGCTTGCAGCATGCGTTCCAGTTCCGTTCCAAAATATGTTAGAAAAGGAAAATGAAAAATTAGAAAAAAAAAAAACATTGTTACAAAGTCGAAAACAAATTGAACTTACAGTGGCCCAATTGAGAGAAGTGTCCAATCAGTAAAATAAATGGCCCAATTAGAGAGAGTTAAAGAAGTTGCCATTAGGGATGGCTGTGGGGCGGGTATTGGGTGGGTTTTGGAAAACCCGCACCCGCCCCGCCCCGCTAGCAAAATTTTCCACACGTACCCGTTTCGGGTTTGATTTTATTAAACCCGACACACACCCCGTATTAAATACTGAATAAAGAATATCAACAGAAGCTTGGCCAGGAGTAGAACATCAGTAGAGGAAAATCCAACTATTAGAGTTAGAAAAACAACTAATCCTTGCAGCACGAAAACAACCTTAAAAACCAATCGACCAAAGCTACTCAACACCATTGTTCGTCTCTCTGCAAGAGTTAAACTTCGCATTTGGTCTTAGTGAAGCAATGGTAATACCAGAGTATATTTCTTTTAATACACCAATAGACTCTTGACTTCATTTAACCCAAGTCCAATCAAAGTTACCGTATTGAAACTAAGTAAACGCAACTGGGACTGCCACATGAACGTTCGCCAGACAACAAGCTTCAAAGACCAGTTATAACTTAGAAATCTCGACCCGTTACCATTTACCAGCACATTAAACGAAACAAGCCTATTTCACTTCCGCTTACCTTCCAATAAACACTAATGTACGAAAGTAACAAATCAATGAAAAAAGCCACAAAGCACGGATTGAACAACTTTACGCCATGTTTATTTAATCAATAATTATTTCATGGACAGCATATAAATAAATGATAATAGCTCATGCAAATATTCTTTCCATCACTAAACCTAAATGGATCGCACATTTCAAATAATCTACTGATATCAAAAAACCAAGTAATCCTTTCTCCCCCAAAAAAATAAATTTATAAAAATCCATCCATTATTAACTACATTGCAGAAATCATTAAAACATGCCTAAATATCAGTAGAAAAACAAAACACGAACCTTCATTAAGACGGATGCCCTAATTCTTCGACATAGCTCTCTCGTTCTCCACCTTCTGCGCGAATAGTTTAGTAGCAATCATATTATCATCGAAGTAGCTCGCGTAAGGGTGCCCCTTTGGAACCAATCTCCTGTACTTTTCGAAATTCTTCTCCGCCTCTCCGTTTTTCTTCAACAAAGTATAAATAATTCCCTGACACAAATACGGCCTAAAATCTCTCGGCTCCTCCTTAACCAAATCCTGATAAACAATCAACGCATCCTCGTAATTCCCATCGAGAACCTTAATTTGAGCAATCAACAGCTTGAAATCCCTCAAATCACTACCCTTATTCTCCTCCTTGCACAATTTCATTGCTTCCTCAACCCTAGTTTCGATATTGACCAAATCTTCGCTGGATTCTTCTTGAGATGCCACGGTAACCAATCCATGATAGGCCTCCACACGGGCAGGGTCTTTCTCGAGAAGCTCGTTGAACCCGTTTTTGGCAGACTCAAAATTGCCATCGTAAGCGTATAAATGGGCTTTCATCATTGGCCACTCCACTTCATCAGGCTCGAGTTCGATCAGCTTGTCCATGATCTCAATTGCTTCCGGAAGCTTTCTGCTCTTGATTTTAGCTTCCATCAGATTCTTCAGTACGTCAACATTGTCGGGATTGGAAAGCAGTTCCTCTTCGAGCAGACGCTCCCTTTCTTCATCCATAATTGAATCCTTATTGGTTTCTGTGGTTTCAGTTTCGGTGGATTCGGTTTCGGTGAGAGGGGGTGAAATTGGGCTGGCGATGGCGCGTTGGCCGGAAAAATAAAATCCGGTGAGGAGAAGCGCGGCGGCGGTGATGGAGGTCACGACGGCGGTTCTCAGAGGGGCCAAAAATGAAATTCCGGAAGCTTTCTGCTCTCTGTTGTCGGTTTTACGGTTCGGCTCATGCAGATAAGCTCTCGGGGAGAGCGACAAGCGACGGAGCGGCGGCGGCGGAAATCTCAGTGACAGGGGGGAGAGGGGTTTGAAGGAAGATGGACGGCTGGAATTGAGCGATGGGACGAGCGGCGGACGGCGGGAGATAAGCTTAGCAGCGGCGGGATTCAGAGTATTCATGGTGCTAGGGTTTAGAGGGTTTGCACAGTGAGCTCTAAACCCTTGATGAGATAATATGACGGAGAAGGGTTTGAATGCGAAATGGACGACAGAAAAACAGAGATGAAGTGTTGCGGTGCAGTGGAGTTACCCTACAGTACTATACAATTCCTCTGTTACTACTCTGGGCTGAAAACGTAAATTAATGAACGCGGGCTAGTTATATTATGTGATTAGAATATGGGCCGGGCCCATAATTTCTCTCTCTAAATCTAGAAACCCATTTGTATTTTTTCTTATGAATAAAAATGAATTAATTTTAAAGAAATAATGGCAATAAATTAAAATTTAAACGATAAAAATATATATATATATTGAAAAAAATTGATATTATGAGTACGAAAAAATATAAATTAGTACGACACAATATTGGCAAGTAGCAAGACAAGACAATTTTAACCCTATTGGTCCCTCCACACTTGGCTTTGTTTCATTTCAATCAATTAACGAACCTTCCACACTTCCCACTCCAATCAAAACTCGATTTTCCAATAATTAAATAAATAAAATAAATAATTAACGATCCAATCCCCACGGCCAATCATCGTGGGGTAGGCAACCACCGCCGAAACTCCGAAATGTCCGCCATGTGTCGATAGTTCCGATCAATCAACATTGCGTAGACGCCACAAGCTTACAAATGATAGGGTTCGTTTTCTCAATAAAGTCTTACTTAGCTTCTTCTCTAATTTATATAAATGAGACCTTAGATTATTTTTGAATCGTACGCGCGCGCACACATATATAAATGTATAATTACATGCGAACCAATTAAATAAAGCAAAGCACACCCCACCCCACCCCACGACGGGTAACATCATGGTTGTCCGAATCGAATACTAGCGGAAAAGTAATAATAAATACTTATATATATAAATAAATAAACACATATGATTCTCTTATGATTATTGATCATTAATTTTCTTAGAAGAATCCAAAAGTATGTTTTGGATTCTTTGACTTGTCTCTGTTTCTTGATCCGACGATGATTTTTCCTCTCTTTTCTTCGTGTAGCTCTCGAAAAACTCCTTGTTCTCCTTCTCCAGCTCCTTCCACACTAAAACGAACATACATACATATATATACACAAATATAGTAAAAAAAAACATATATATATTGAAGCTTATTTAATTTTTTCATATATATGTAGATTTTGGTTGCATGAGGATATAATTGGAAAGAAAAACAATATGGAGGGGTAGTTTGGTAACAAAAAGAGGAAGAAGGCAAACCTGTAGAGGTAATAACTGGGGTGATGTTTGCATGTTTAGAGAGTGCCTCCATGCATTCCTCTTTGCTCATGTTGAAAACTATGCACTCTTCTATTAGATGTTGTACCTTTTTTTTTTTTTTTTTTTCCATGCATTAAATAATTAAACCCACAAAATTAATTAAAAGCAATCTTCAAAATAACAATCTAAATAACTAAAAGTAAAATATAGGGTGCAGTTTGTAATAACTTGTAATAAGAGGGAGGTGAAGGACAAAAAATAATGAATGAATTAACTTACCATGTGGATGTATTGTGCTGAGGATTCTGATCCCATGACTTTTGACCAAGATTCTCTCTCTCTCTCTCTCTCTTGTTAGAAAGAAGAATAGTAGGAAGAGAAGAACCAGAAATAGAAACTAGAGAGAGAAAGAGGAGAGAGAGAGAGAGAGAGAGAGAGGATATATGTATATATATATATATTTGGATCAAGGGTTTATGTGAAACAAATATAATGTGACCTATATCTGCTAGCTGCAAAACCATTTATATAACATGCGTCGTCAATAACGATGATTTTAATATATATTTATATTTATTTTGTGTGTGTAAAAAAATATATATAAAAGTGATCAGGTGGTGGTGCATTGGGGTTTGGGGGGGGTCAGGTTCCCACGTGGGAGATGAAATCTGATTGGCTGAGAGGGGATTAGGGTAGATTTTACTAAGCACCAGTTGGTTTGTTTTGAAACGCCCACTTCACGTGGCACGCTGGGCCCCGCTATCTGACCAGCCCGCCTTATTCGGCCCTATAAAGGCCCAATTGAACCCATTTCCTTTTTTCAAAATCAATATTATTATTATTATTATTATTATTATTATTTATTTTTTTTCAAAAATAAATAAACAAACATTATTTTTTTCCAGAGTAACGGCGTAAGTTTGGAGTTGGCGTGGCGTATTAACACACTACTATTGAGGACCAAATGCATGACAACTACAATTAACACTACTTATATATTTTCTTGTTAAACTAATGGAAATTATTATATTATTTTTTAATTCAAATCTAATGAGATTATATGAGTGGCGCTTCGAGAAGAACTCGAGCTTGACCTCACAAATTTCTTTTCAGACCCAGCTCGAGTTCTTCTCGTTTACACACCTATCCTACTAATTAAGAGTGTGTTTAGATGTTGAGAGAGAGAGAGAGATTTTCTTGAGTTTATATTGAGTAGTCTTATTTTGTAATTTGTATATAAATATTAAATAATACGGACAAAAACATTCTCACAGCTGGGCATAGATCTTCTTTAATAATATTACAAGTAATAATAGAATAGAATTGATTCATATTTTGAACTACTAGTCTTGTACTATTTTTACTCACGACAAATTCAATATTTCCTTCTTATATGATTGAAAGCTTTCAACTATATTAATTAGTAAGAGAGAGAGAGGAGAGAGGAGAGAGATATTGAATTTGTTTTTTGTTTTTAAAAGACACACTAATCAAGACTGATTGACAACAAAAGGGTGCTTAATTAATTTGCAAAAACCCCCCCCCTAATCACAGAAATTTCTCCCCCACCCCCCCCCCCCCAAAGA